AGGTTGAAATCATTTGAGCACAGGAATGAAACAAGTCAAGAATCCAGTGGTAGTTTGAATATAGTCTCAAGAGTCTGTTACATCTCCATATCTCCTCTTTTAGTCACTTTCCAGTTGCTGGGATAAAATACCTAACACTTACAATTGTATGCCTTAATATCTTTCTGACTTCTAGTTGATTCCAGATTTTTTATGACTGTTGACCTCTCTCCTCCAATTGGCTTCTGTTCATATTTAGAAAGAAAACATTTGATCCATATTTTATTATGATGCTTTAAAAAAGCAAAATATTGTCAGACTTGAAGCACTACCTGTTTTTCAATTCTCTTTCTCCATACCCAGCCAATGTCCTTCCCTCATGACCACTTTCTCCTCCATTTTAGAGGGAGTCTTCTTAAAGAAAACAGATCTGCTAAAGAAACAGTAAACAGTTAAAAAGCCACCCCAAATCAACTTTTGTTTTATCATATTAAATTATAAATGCTTTTATATAATTAACACTGATTTATTGGAGATAATTTCATTAAGGACATCAACATTACATGACCTCTATCCTCTGTCCAAAGCTGAGAAAGAAAGAGATGTATAATAAGCTATAAAGGCCAGCAGCATGAGGAAATTGGAGGCAGAGAAGGTACCTGAGAAATTTAACATCTTCCTTATCTCTCTGCTTTCCTAATTCTACATTTAAGAATTTCTATTGTGGTTCACCTATGCCTAAATCTGTCTGTCTGTCTGTCTGTCTGTCTGTCTGTCTCTCTCTCTCTCTCTCACACACACACACACACACACACACACACACACACCACCCCCACCACCACCACCACGGCCACCTGAAATTCATTCCTTTGAGATATGTCAAATTCTCCAAAGAGTTTGATTTTAAAATGGAGACACATAACCATCTGTGTGTATGCATATGGGCACACACAGAAAGATCAATTAACTTTTCCTATAATGGTACAGCTAGTAAGTGTCTTGGATTTGCAGCCATTGCCAATTGTCTCAACTCCTCAATTCTGCATTTGCAGCCTGAAAGCAGTATAAATGAATGAGCATTCTTACATCTCAATAAAATTTTATTTATGGGCATTGAAATTTGAATTTCATATACTCTTCATGTTTCACAAAATATTATTTTACTTTTGATTTTTTTCAACCATTTAAAAATATGAAAAGTATTTCTAGTTTACTGGTCATACAAGGGGAAAGGAAAGGAGGGAAAGGAAAAACTATGAGAAAAGATAAAAGATGGAAATGATGTCTGTGTAAATAGGGAAGGGTGGAGGGGGTGAAGGGTGCACGGGTAATGGGGAAAAAAATAAGAACCAAGATGCATCATGTACAGGTACAAACACCCAATGATAAATGTAAATGGATTGTATACCCAAAATGTACCAATAAAAGAACTTAGAAAAAAAAAACATTTCATTGGCCAAGTTCAGTTCACAAGCCATAGTTTTCTGACCTCTAGTGCAACACATTCACTCACTAACACAGAAAGTGTATTTCCATTTATCGCAGTCTGAGCCATGAGGACTACTCTCTTCATTTGAGCTCTGTGTTGAATAAAGAACATGATGGTATAAAGGGATGGGGCATTGCAGTTATCTTAGGTCATTGAGCTTGTAGCTGTAGGTTAGTTGAATGTTTTCCAGCCTTAGTTACATATTGGAATCATTTGGGGAGTGTTAAAACACATGCTGATGCCTAAATACCACTCTTAGAGAGGTCAAGGTGATTACTCTCGTGAATGGTCTGAACAGGGGGATTTTTAACAGCTCCCTGAGTGTTTCCAATGTACAGCCAATGGTAAAATCCATTCATCCCACATAAGATGGTTTACAAAGTAAACCATAATATTTTTGGATCACCAAAGACTGGAAGATAGAGCTACATTCAACTTTCCCCCCTTTCTTTGTCATCTTTTATATTTATTTCCAATTTACCAGACTCATCTCATTTTGCAACTACAATTTCCCTTGCTCACCTTTCTTACTCATTTTGGATTTGAAATAACCTTGAAAAGCTAGGAAAGCTCATAAAACTCAGAAAGAATATGCATTTTCTATGTGCTGTGTTATGCACTAGCTTCTTAGTCTCAGTAGGTGTTAGTGTTTCTCAAGTTAATGTTGCCTTGTGGGAGCACTTATTTAACCATGCAGGCACAGGCTCAACAATGACAGGCACTCTGGAAAGGATGGATTCTGGGAAATTTATTTCCTAGCTGTGACTCCTGGGAGACTATTATGTAAACCAGAAAAACAACTTATTAAATTATAGTTTCTGTCCCCTATCCTTGGATCCTCTATTCAGAAACATATATCTGTGAAGCCATTATCAAGATTCGGGAGCAGCATGGAATTAGAGATAACAAAATAGAAGGCTTTTAAAAATATATTTCATAAGAGAAAGTAAAAGAGACTCTTTCTTAACCTAGAAAATGTGTCTTTCAGTAACCCATAAAAACTAAGCTCCCCTGACAGTGTCATATCCCCACATTTGGGCCCTATTACAATGAGATAAATGTACTTCTTTCTTGTCAGCTTTCCTTTAACCACATTTTAGCTTAAAGTTTTGTTGGCACTGATTTCTAATACTTCTTGTTTAAATCACAGCAACATGATATCTGAATTTAAAAAATCTCTTTTTAAATTGGCCTTTAACCTTCTCTACTTTAATTTAGACTTGGGGAAGTTTTTATCCTCTTCCTATTTAAGTAGCAAAAGATCATGCATTTTATGGCATATTTTATATAACATCTGAAAGAGTTGGCACCATCCAAATATTTGTGATGATCTGCCTCATTAGACTAAACCTTTTTTTTTTTTAGTCTAATCAAGTGAAAGGAAAATAATTTTTGAGATGCTCACAGTAAATGTCAGGGAGAAAATGAGAAAGTATATGTCATTTTTGAGAAAATGTTGCTGGCAACAATAATTTCCAGTAGATGACTTAGGATCACAAGAATTTTTTCCTTGTTACAGGATAGCCTCTTGAGTATCATCACCACAATTAATCAACTTATGTCAGTGCTTCTACATAAGTAGAACTTTTGCTTTCATCAAAGCTAATCCATGATGAAAACTTTGTCACAACCATGTGGGTCTGGGAGGACCTTCAATTACAGACACAAGTAGAAATAGCTACATGAATCTCTTTGGTTATGAATTCTTGGCTCCTTTCTGCAAGATTCATCTCTAGCCTCTTTTTTTTAAATGAAATTGTAGCTGAAATAATAGAAAGAGTTGTAATGTAGTTTCAAGAGTAGAGAGTAGATCATCTGTGGTCAAAGTACAGTTTCACTGTGTAGGTCTCTAAGCCTCTCCTAATTGGGACCTCTGACATGAACAGAAAAACTTGGAAAAGTATGAACATGGTTAACTGTTGTCATATATAGATCCTAAGGCAGAAGAGCTCAGAAAATCACCCTGAAACTTAGAATTCCAAATTACACCAATATATTTAATCAGAAAATGTATGCACATACATGAATGTAATAATTATTTAACCTCTTAAAGATTCAGGTCCTCATCATTAAAATAGAAATGTTGATACCTTCTTTATTGGGATATTTGGGGGAATTGAATGTGGCTAACACCTAGAAGATAATCACTAAATAAATGCAGCTGCTATTTGCTTACTTACTGAAGGTGGTGGTGGTGGTAGTAATAATATTAATCAAAGCATATCTGACTTTGGTGGCTTTCTGGTGTACAGCCCTGAAAAATCTTATGAGTAGTGATTGACAGCTCTGGTACTCACTGCCTGATTTTTCTTCTGCCAAATTTATCTTTCAGTAATGATATGTGCAGATTCAGACATTTTTCAAAACTCTCCTTTATTCCAATTAATCTCATCTCTGATTGGCTTGATTGTAAGCCTTAAGCACTATTAACCAGTGCTGGTGTGGTTTACCAATAATATCTTTAATAAGTTATAACAATAACTTATTAAAATAGTAATTGAGAACGTGAAACTCATCAGAGTTTATATTTTCCTACCTAGTATATTTTGTGCTTACTGGAGGTAAGGAATAAAACCAGAACAAACACTGCTGTTAAATTCTAATTTGTTAAAACTTTATGTTTACCTATGAAGCTACATTTATTAAGAAAATTGTGATCAACTTGAGGGTAAGAGTTGCCTTTTCTTTTATTATTATTGAATGGAATTGAGTCATTTTAGCCAACATAAATGATTCAAACCAGTTACCAAATACCATTACTTTTATACCACATTTATTAAATATGCACCATGAACCAGACACTAAAACAACAGAAAAATGAAATATAGTTTCCAATCTTTGATTAAACATGTACTGAATGACTTCTTTGCCCCAAGGCAATGTGATGATGCTCAAGATACCATGGTAAATACAACATGATTCAGTTCCCAAGGAGCTCACTGTTGAAAGAAGCACCAAGGCCTACATATGTAGATGAATTAGGGGACCAAAAAAGACATTTTGTAGTCAAGTACTAAATAGTTTGACAAAGATATAAGTCAAAGGAAGTAAGTGAAGAAGATCTTGACAGGGCCTGTGCTTGACAGGAAAATCCTGATGGGAACTGTTGAAATTCATCTGCCTTGAAGGATAGGGAAGATTTGAACAGACAGAATGACAAAGAGGGCTTATGACATCAGGAGAAAGTGAGCAAAACCCTTGCAGGTGAAAGTGAACTTGGCAAATTGAGAGAATAATCAGGAATGTAGAATGACTGGGAGAATGTTGGTGAGGAATGGGAAATAAAGTTAGAAAGATAGGGGAAGCTCTACTCCAAAGACCCTGGAGTCAGGCAAATGGGATCAAACCTAGCGAGCCCCTGAAGGTCTTGGAGGAGGAAGGTAACCTAACAGTTGCTGAGCAGTGTCAGTATGGCTCTTGTGAACCTGTGGTTCATGTGTCCTTATCATTTTGCTCGTCAGCTTTTCCCTGTCTGCATTTTTATTTTCTGCTGTGTTTCCATGTTAAATTCAGAATGTGCTTTATCTTTTAGGGGCAGCACCTCATCAGATCTCATTGACCACAAGGCTGGACCTGGGACTCCAAAGAGCAGCAGGAGTAATGTTGTGACCCCAGTCACTCAGAGGTCACCAGCTCCAAGCACACGCAGCATGACCTCAGTCAGCAGTAGAGTAAGTGCACAAATGTGAAGAGGCACTCAGCCTCTGGGACTTGACTTCATCACCAAGACGTGACTGAGTTTGAAGTCTGTATCTTGAAGCCTCTTTTTAGTATATGTGCTGCCAAAGCGAGCACATCTTGGAGCCTCTTTTTAATGCTGTTTAGTGGTAGAAGCTTCTTTATGAGGAACAATCCTCCTGCATCCTCAGCTTTTGACCAGAAACCCAAACTGAAAAGGAGAAAGACAGGGTTTAAAGGTGGCATCGTATGATGGGGATTTAACTGACTATATGGTTTAAAGAAATATAAAGAATTTGTAGAAGGCTCTGATTTTGATCCTCTGTGTTACTTCACAGGGAACATATTCACAAGCTAAATTCGCTAAAATTTCTGCAAGTGTATTGGAATCTGGAAACATAGAACCTTGAGATATTTTTGTAGTTTTCTTTTCCACACAGCTGCTAAACTAAGGGATCATAATGAAAGCTTAAATTACATATGATATATATCATAAATTATATTGTATAATGCTTTTATCTTTTAAGGGAGAAGGTGGATAAAATATTTGAGGAGAAATATTTTCTTTTATTAAATATTCTGTTGGAAGTTGTTCTTGGAAGTAATTATCATCTACTAGATGATTTTTTTATTAAGCAGGAAACTCAGAGCATAATGTTGGCATTTATATTTAAGAAATATTAACATATGACCCACAATTCTTTGATTCAGCAAAATTTGATGAAGTAAAAGTCTGTGTAAAAGACTACGTAAAAGGCTGTGGTCAAACCAAATTTTGAGGAAGTGAAAGAATAAACACTGCAAATGTCTGGAGCAAGGCAGAGACAGCACTGAAATTTAGCAAGTACACCTGGCAAAGGATGTTTCACTTACTTACACCTGGCCTTCATCTTGAATGGTCAGTGCCCTTGCTCAACCAGTTTCTTAAATATTTTGAATGCCCCCAGAGGAACAGCCAGTGCAAAGACCTGATCGTGCCTGGTATGTTCAAGAGAAAGCAAAGGCCAGTGTAGTAGCTATTGTGGGTAAATGAAGGCAAAAGTACTAGGAAAAGAGTACAAGGAGATCAGAGGCCAGGTAAGGCCTCAAAAACTACTGTATGTGCTTTGGAATTTAGTCTGGTTAAGAGAGGGGAAATTGGAGGGTTTGAGCCCTAGGAGTAACGTGAGCTGGCTTCAGTTTAAAGAGCATCCAGGGTCTGCACTGAGAAGCACCTGCAGGGAAACAAGAGTGGAAGTCAGGGGACCAGTGAGTAGGCCATTGCCAGGTGAGAGAGATAAGACTTTGGAACAGAGAGGTAACAATGGAGGTAGTGAGCAGTCAGATTCTGTAAATATTTTTAAGGAAGGGCCAAAAGACATTCAGAGAGGTCGAAACAGTAATAGATTTGCTTAAACACTTACAGTCTAGATTGTACTCGCTAAGATGAAAGGTGTATTTAAATTTTATAAATATGCTAAACTCAGCAAGTAGATTATGTTCAATACTCAGAAAAGTGCATGAGTAGTTGATGATTATGCTCACTTCTTTTTGGCAACCTAACAAGGAGTGATATTCAAAATATTTAGCAATTGATATGGCAGGGACACTAGTCAATCAGAATAGATACTGGTACAAAGCTTGGACAGTATCCTGTGGGTCCATCCCATGCCATTCATCAACCTGGATTGTGGGAAGGCCTGTAGATGAGGAGAAGCATGGAGAGAGGGAGGTAGACTAGGAGTAGTGCTGTTTAACAACTGAAAAAAAATGTATTTTAAAAGTTTAATAGCTGCTATGGCTATATCAGTGGGTAGTTATCAGTTCAATAAACAATGTTAATCAAATTTGGTTTTAAAATAAAGATTATTATCCTGAGTACCATTTAAGTTTATTAAGGGGAAAATTCAACTTCTTGATAGAAATTCTCTGCAACTAAGCTGAGTTTATTTATATATACACAGTACACAGACAGTGACTGTGTTGACATTACTATTACATTCTAGCTGGTCTAAACTGGTGTTTTCTTAGAGGAAGAGACATACACAATGGGGTACTACTCTAACATAAAGAAAGATAAACTTGAGGCATCAATAGGCAAATGGATTCAACTTGAGAACATAATGTTAAATGAAGTCAGACACACAAATTCGAATAATTCCCCATCCTATTCCATTGTTTCAAAAATATTTTAATGTATATGTTAATTTGTTTCATTTATACTACTAGTTTCTCTTAGTTCATTGTAAAGAATGTTTTGTGTATTATCTGTTTCTTATTTGCAAGTCTTTTTTTGTCTATGTCTTCTACTCTGAGTAACTTCTAAGATTAGATACACACTATATTAGCTATTGTTCTTCTCATTATTTTGTTATGAAAGTTTTTTTTTTCGTAGAAGAGTACTTTTTCTATTTGCATTAACATCCACTTCTATTACATTAAAAAAAATTTTTTTTTTGGTTCCAGGGATCTAACTCGGGTCCTTGCCCTTGCGCAGCAGGTGGCGAAACCACTGAGCTAAATCCCCAGCCCGATTACATTAAATTTTTTAAAACAACAAAAAAGAGAGACAAGGAGCGATATTTTATGTTGAATGAAAATAAGAAGGTATCTCAGGAAGGAGGGATGGGGAGGGCAGTGAAGGCAGGAGGAGCAAAAATGATCAAAATGCAATGTGTATATGTATCAAACCCCAAGCTGAATGTAATTGCTATGTATTGTAAATATGTACTAATATAAAAGAATGAATGAATAACAAAGAAAAGACAGTCTAGCAGTTTATGAAGCACATTTACTTTTTCATGTTGAAGAGAAGAGGTATATAGAATTAGATGCTGATCAAAATCACTGCTTCTCAATTTCTTCTACTTCTTAGTGTCTTTCTGTTTCAGTGCTTTAGCATGTAAGAAGCTTTTAAAATGGAAAACTTTTAGAACATGTAAGCCTCTAATCTGTCCTCAGCTATGATGTGACATGTTAATTTTAGATTTGACGTCCTGAAGCTCTGGGGCATGAATTGTGCTTTAATGACTATTCGGTATTAATTGGCCTGTGACTTTGCAGTATTAATTGGCTTAGTAATGCTCAATATTAATAGTATCCCTAGCTCACCTGTGGAAAATTTTGCTATCATTATAATTGTGAGCAAAGAACTTGTTTTTGCTCCATTAGAGGACTCCATGTGTAAATAAATTTTTGAAGAGGTATTGAAAACTTACTTAAAACAATTTATCCATTTGACATCAGTCACACTCTTGATAAACCTCACTGGTCTATGGCAATTAGAAGACTTAGAAGCTATATATTTTGTGCTCTGGGTCTTAGGTGTTGGAAAATAATGAAAGACATAAAAACAGTCTATAATGAAGTTAAACTGATTAGCATGTTAAGCAAGTGAGAGCCACATATCTAAGAGTAAGTTTATCACAGTGTCCCTGAATGTCTAAGATATGGAGAATAATGAGGAAAGTACATTCTGTATGACTTTTTTGAGTGGGACTTTTGATTGGTTATACAAAGGAGAATTTTAACAGTCTCCTGCCGTTTTGATCATTATCACACCACATCATCTGCATGGACATTTAAACTCACCCCTCCCAAAAGGTCCAATATTACTATTTTTAAAAACATTTTTAAACATTTTTTAAACAAGCTTGGAGGTTGCAAGAGTAAAGCCCCTATAGAAACAAGCAAAGTTGGTACAGAGTTTTAGTTTATCATATGTTAGAATGAAAGTCAGTCTCAGACTGAATTCTGTCACATGTAAATGCATTTATTAGCAAGTAAGAATCCCTCAAAAGTACCTATTCCTATAGGTTGAGGAATCTTCACTCTTATGAGCATTGATAAGTATCATGCATGCCAGTTTTCAGTTTTGTCCCAACATAGACATAACCATCCATTATTTTTTTTTTGTACTGGGAATTGAACTTGGGACCTTGCGCTTTCGAGGCAGGTGGCAGAATCACTGAGCTAAATCCCCGGCCCATAACCATCCATATTCTGACCATCCACCCTTGTAGATTGAAAAGGTGACATCACCTTCAATTAAGTGGAGATAAAGATGTATGTGTTAGTCAGCTTCTTATTACTGTAACAAATACCTGATATAAGTCAACTTAAAAAGAGAAATGTTTAATTTTGACTCACAATATTGGAAGTTTCAGTCCATGGTCAGGCAGATGTATTTATTCCTTTTGGGTCTGTTGTAAGGTAGCATGTCATAGTGAGGAGTGTATGATAGAGTGAGCTGCTCACCTCAGGGTGGTCTGGAAGCAAAAGAGTGGGAGCAAGAGATCAGAATCCTACAGTCCCCTTTAAGAGTACACTCTCAATGACCTAACATCTCTCACTAGGCCATAACTCCAAAAGTTTTCACCATCTTCCAGTCACCAAGATGAGGACCAAGCCTTCAATACATGAGTCTTTGAGGGGCATTCTGTTCCAAACCCAGCAGGATGATTGAGGAGAGGGCATGTTGGGAGCAGGAATAAACATAGCACCAAACACAGTTCTAAGTAAGCCTAAGTACTACTATGAGGGTATCAAGCTTTTCAAATTTTCAAACATAGTTTATATAAAATTGAGGGTACTTATACCATCTTTCTTGCCAATCATATAATAGAACACTTACTAATTTTGTAAGTGATAAAATTCTCAAACGCCATTTGTGCTAAATAGCAAACCTCTTGGAATAGATTTTAGATAACAATTATTGATATTAAGTTTTGGAATTATAGGGGCTGGTGATGTTCTTGCTAATGTAAATTCACTCCTAAAACGGAACATACATAAATGTGTGTAAACTGAAATATATTTATATTGAATGATTTAATAGTGAGTTACAGTCAGTTTAATGTTCTTTTCTTAATGTTTACTTTGTGGGAAGGAGCGTGGCTTTGAAAATTCCATGGGTTTGTCTGCCACTCAATGTACCTCTGAGGAGCTCACAAAGACTCATCGCAGAAACGTGTCCAGCACACCTTCCATAGCAGTGTCTGGGACCTCCCTCTCCTCAGGTGGGCATTTATGACACTACTACTCTGTTGTGAAAAATGACTAAATCCAATGTAATTGAATGTTCTGTGTAGTATGAAGTGGATGTTTTACTCCTTAGGAAAAATCATCTATTCTTTGATCCATGGTAGATTTATTGGATGATAACTACTTAAAGGTAGTATTTGGCCTCTTGCATTCATGAAAATTCCATTTATTGAGTATATATCTAGCCAGGCATCAGCATCAAGTTTCAGAGCTATACCAGAATATCAATATAGAAATATAAGAAATGAAAATGGTTCCAGATGTGGCAGATAATATTTGTCCAGGGTTCAAGAAAATGTTAGTTCACTTGATATAGTGTTCTGAAGTTCCATGTATATAATTCTAAAATTTAAAATATATAATTCTAAAATTTAAATAAGGAATCATTTGCAAATAACATTAAAGTATTAATAATAATTTTTCATCTGTAGAGAATATTCATATATATCATTTTATTTTATTATCACAACAATCCTGTGAATCAGATATTATTTATGCTGCAATTTTATTATCTATGAGTAAAGAAACTCTTTACAGAAACTTGTCATACTGATGAAGTTTATGTCTTATATATAGCACTAAATTCATGATGTAATACTCAACATTAAAGCATTACCTATTACCTAATGATGATATCTACAAAAAACTCAAGGATAGTTTCTAGATTCTAATTCAAAAGATTTTGAAAGTCTCTCCTAGCCAGCCAGCATCCAAAGGGTCTTTGTTTGGGTTTGGTTTTTGAGGGGTCATTTTGTTATTTGATTTTGTTGTTGTTTTATTTCTTGAAGTTCTGGGGAGTAATAAAGCAGTTTACCTGTTAAATGAAAAATTTTAAAACAACCTATGAGCCAGCATCATAAAGTCTTCTTCGACTATTCTACTCAGCAGCTACTGTTTATTGAGTCCTAACTCTGTCAGGCACTATGCTAAGCACTTCTACAGTATTTCACTGACCATTTTAAACTTAAGTACTTGATTGGTCTCCAATCTTTCTCACTTATAAGAAACTCTATTTCAGCAAGACTTTGGTACAGATTTATTCTGTGAAAATAAACTGTCCTGATTTGGTGAGATGTACTGAAAAGTACTTTATTCCTTATATTTTGAAAGCTGAAAGCAAGATGTTTTGTCGATGAAAGAATGTTCTGGCCTCTGAATAAACAAAACTCCCTTTTAGTTTATCCATAATCAATCCCATTTTGTGTGAAAGGATAATGCTGTATTATTTAAAAGTGGAAGTGTAGAATTGGTTGATTTGCATTTTATATCAGATATGAAAACAAAGTGAATTTGGTACATATTGAAAAGTCAAGAATGGTTAGTAGTTTATTTCTCCCAATCTTAAGGAACCAATGTATGAGAGCTTTTTTCCTAAGTCTAGGAGTAAAGTATATGCCTTAAACAGCTTGAAGCTTCTTATTTGTAGTAGAGCATTTAACCTCCCATGGTCAAAAGAAAAATGAACACGTGAGTGTTAGTATTTAGTCCAAGGCAGTTTCTGAAATACTATAAAACTATGTCACCATAAACAGCCTGAAGTTACTGGCTCTGGTTATTGCTTTCATGACACTATCTATGCTCTATGCCTGAAAAGAATTAGAATAAAAATGAAGTATTTGCAATGAAAAATGAGAACATCTAACAAAATAAACTGATTCACATCTTTTTTTTTTCCTCCCTCCAGACCGGAGTCAATCTGAGTTAGATTTGTGTGAGTCATTTACAGAAGATTTAGAGGATAATGTGAGCATAAGAAGCAGGTCTGTTCCTGGGGCTTTAGACAAAGACTTGGTAAGTAGGGTGTGGAAGAGAGGCTAATGATCATGAGGAAGGAAAGGCATGATCTGGCTCCAGCCAGTTTCGTTCTCAGGTGATGATGAGTTGAGAGGAGTGTGAGCATATGCAATAGCACTTCGTGTTTGTCTTCACAGTCAGCATATAAAAGCAACTAAAAGAATTATTTAGAAAAGGTAACAGGTAATTAGGTAAATAAGAGATTATTTCAAAGAAAATATTTTTCAGAGATTTCAATTCCTGATTAAAAGCACATCAGTTAATCTAAACCTGGGAAATAATGGATCCCGGTGTTTTCTAAACCAAATATTGCCTGACTTACCTGATTATATATTTTACAAGGACATTTGTACATCTCAAGTTGTTCCTAACAAATTGCATTCTCAAAACTGAATAATGTAAAAATTAATATTTCATTATACTCATTTATAAAACAGGAAGGTTGAATTAGATGATTGTTAATGTTCCTTCACACTCTACTATTCTGACATTCTGTTTTCTATCACTGTTATAATAAAATTTCAACTCCTTGGAAGAAAGATACAGCACAAATGTTAATTGACATTAATAGTTTTTTTCTAAGTAAGTCAGGAAATCTCTAGTTCTGGAACTAAATATTATTTACTACAGTATAAAAAGCTGGAAAAGCACTTTAAAATCCATCACAAAAGAAGTGAGTAGACAGAGTCTCACTAAGGACAAGACTGGCCTCAAACTTGCAATCCTCCTGCCTCAGCTTTCTGAGCAGCTGGAATTACAAGTGTGCACCAACACACCAAGCAGGGCAGGTTACATTTATAGGCAGAAAAAAAGGCAGTGACAAGAAAAAAGTGGAAGTGAAATACAGAGACAGTCTCACTGGTTATAACTTAAAACTGTGTCATTTGAATAGGATTTAAACAATGGCCACTTGTGACTACCTGAGACTCAGCTACTTGTTGTTACAAGAGTGGATTACAGTCTGTTCATACATCAAATTAGGTTGCAGTTTGCTATGTATGGAAAAATTGTTAGCCCAAGCCTAAAATATATAGAGGGAACTTTAGGCTGATTTTAACATTCACCAAGAAAAAGTCAAGGTATAGATAGCTTCACTAATTAATTTCATCAAATATTTAAGAAAAACTAATACTAATAATTCATAAACTGGTTCAGAAGGTTGAGGAAATATTTCCTAATTCATTTTATAAGGCCAATATTACAATGATACCAAAACTAGAGAACATATCCCAACAAAAGAAAACATGGACCAATGCCCATCATGAATACAGATGTAAAAATCCTTAATAAAATATTAGCAAACCAAACCCAGTAACAAAAAGAGATCACACACTATAACCAAATGGGATGTATCCCAGGTATTTAAGGTTGATTTAGCATTCCAAATTAAATTGATGTAATACAAGGTATCGATAGAATAAAGAACAGTAGCCACATCATCTCAGTAGATGCAGAAAAATTATCTGACAAAGTCAACTATCCATTCACAATAAAATGTTCACCAATTAGAAATAGAGGTAATTTCCTCAGTCTAATAAAGGGTGTCTACAAAGTTACTACAACTACCAACATACTTAATGGCTAAAGGGACCAAATGCTTCCTGCCTAAGTGCAAGAAAGAATTTCCACTTCTGTTACACATTGTACAGAAGATTATAGCCACTGTGGTACACAGAGAGAAAAAACATAATGGAAAAATAAAAAAGAAAGGAAGGCATCTCATTGGAAAGAAAGCAGTAATAGCTTTCTTATTGGCAGATAATATGATCCCATGTGTAGAAAGTGTTAAAGGATGTACAAAAACATGACCAGAATTAATAACAAGGTCACAAGATATGAAATCAATATACAAAAAACAATTGTACTATACAGTATATACTAGCCATGAACAATGTAAAATGAAATTAAGAATATAATTCCATTTAGATTAACAGTATCATGAAATAGATTTTTGAAAGTCAAGACAAATACATTTTGAAAAGTATAAGATGAGCACTGAAATTTACAAAACTCTTGCTGAGCTAAATTAGAGATCTAAAGAAATGGGGACATTCTATGTTCATAGTTTAGAAGATCCAATGTTTTAAGATGAAAGTTTTCTTCAAATGAATATATAGTCATAATGCAAATCAAAATCCAAATAGGATATTTTGTAGAATGCACATGATGATTCTAAAATTTATATAAAAATTCAAAAGGCACAGAATAACAAAATAAATTTTGAAGATCAAATATAGAAGATTTTAAAATTTACTTTATAGTTACAGTAATTAGTGCAGTGCTCTACTGTCATAAGCATGGGCAATCATGGAATAGAATCCAGAGTCCAGAAATAAATCTTCACATTTATGGTGAATTGTGCTTGGGTTATGAATGGGGAAAATATATCCATTTCAATAAATCATACAGGGACAGTTGAATATCTATATGTCAAAGAACAACAATAATAGCAAAACTTTGACTCTTACCACGCACACTGTGCACAAAAATGAACAAACTAACTCAAAATACATTATGTACCTAAATGTAAGAACTAAAACATTAAAATTCTATAAGAAAACCTCGGAAGAAATTTTCAGGGTTTTGAGTTAGGCCAAATTCTTAGAAATGACATTAAAATATGCATGATGCATTAGAAACACTCATAAATCAAACTTGGTTAAAATTAAAAATTTTCACACTTCAAAAAACAACATTACAAAAATGAAAAGACAACCCACATGCTGAAAAATATTTTTAAATTATATACTTGATAAGGAACTTGGATCTTGAATGTTTAAAGAACCCATACATCCAATATTTTAAAAAGACAAATAATGACATTAGTAGATAAAAGATTAGAATAGCCATTTAATCAACGAGATTTACAAATGCCTAGGAAGTACATAAAAAGATGCAGAGCAACATTAGTGATTAGAGAAATGAAAATTAAATCTACAAAGTACCACTTAATACTCGCTAGAATGGTTGTGATAAAAAAAAAGATAAGTGTTGACAAGAATAGAGAGAAATTGGAACCCTCTTACATTACTGCTAGAAATAGTACATGGTACAACCACTCTGTAAAATGTTTGGAAATTTCTTTAAAAACTAAACATAAACTTACTGTACATCTCAGCAATTTGAATCTCAGATATCTGCCCAAGAGAAATAAAAACACATGTCCACACAAAGTCTTACACACAAATATTCATAGTTGCACTCCTCAGAATAGCCAAAAAGTGGAAACAATAATGTCTGTCAACTGATGGATAAATAAAATATTCATTAAATTTTCTAGAAAGGAATATTATTCAGCAATAAAAAGCAATTAAGTACTGATACTACAGCATGGATGAACCTTAAAATATTACGCTAATGAAGGAAGCCAAACAAAATTGCATACCATATAACTATATTTAAATAAAATGTCAAGAAAAAAGTCTGTCAAGATGAATGTAATTATTATGTGTCACAAACATAATAAAAATAAATAAAAACTCTTAGGTTAAAAAAGAGAAGTCTTGTGTATTTGCAACACATAATAGTTTGTTATGTTTGTTATGGCGAATTAGTACATGCATATAATGTATTTGATTATTTTGATACACTTTACCCTTCTCTCTCTTACCTCTCCCCTCTCCCTGATTCCCTTCCCCCATCCCCCAAAAGTCTGCCCTCTTGTTTCCTACCATCTCTCCTTTATTTTACTCATTTATTTAGGGTTTTATTCCCAGTACCACCAAAAATAAACAGACAAAACTGTTTTTTGCTTGACAGGTTTTTTTTATATGTTGCCTGGCAAAAAAAAACATGGAAAAGAGTATATATACCTTCCAAATCTCCAACACTTTTTTATTAAAATAGTAGTAACACTGAGCATGGTGGGACATGCTGGTAATCCTAGCTTTCTGGAAGTTTAGGCAGAACAATTGCTTCAAATTCAAAGCCAGCATGGGATACACAGTGAGTTCAAGAATTAGCTTGAACTATATAGCACGACCCTGTTTGCAAAATATTTTAATTAAAAAGCAAAATGATAATGATTTTCACTATAATCATAAATTCATAATTATTTCTCTTGACCAGCATGAAAACCAATAAAACTAAGTCAAACCTATAAACATAAAACAGAAAGGAAAGGCAAATGTGGTGGCGCACACTTGTAATCGCAGCACTTGGGAGGCTGAAGCAGGAGGATTTTTGTGAGTTCGAGGCCACATAATGAATTCACGGCCAGCCTTAACTACATAAGAGACCTTATCTCAATGAAAAGGAAAAATTTACAAAGGAGTTAAAGCAGATTAATAGTTGCCAAGAGCTAGGGAGGGATATGGAGATTGACAAGAAATGAATGTTGGGGATTTTATTGGGTTGATGGAAGTGTAAATCTGAACTGTGCTGATGTTTGCCTATTTATAATTTGCTAAAATTAATGAATTATATACACAAATACGAGGGCAAGGTGTGACTGAAAAATACAATAAATGTTTACATTTTTAATATCTATTACATTAAAACACTCATTGCTGTTAATCCTCCTCAAAATACTCTCTCTCCTTTCAAACACACTTAACCCATCATTCTTGCCACTTTTTCTAGAAGTTCTGCAAGGTTTTTTTGTGTGTGTGAATGCCTTTAGTTGTGCTGCCATAGTGCCCTTGATGTCCTGAATGGATCCAAAATGCTTACCTTTCATGATTGTTTTTACTTTAGGAAAGAACCAGAAATCACATGGTGCCCAATCTGTTCAGTAAGGTGGATGAGGACACACCACAAGGTTTCTATGAGCCTGCCTTTCTATTGGATGGCATGTAGCAGCAGCATTCACTGTGTTTTTGATCAGACCTATTAAAGACACAAAAGTGGATTTCCAGAACTGCTTCATAAGTGGCAAGAATAATGAATGTGTTCAATGTGAGGAGTATTTTGAGGGAGATTGATGGCAGTATATCTTTCACCGTAAGCTGAAGCTGTGCCAAGAGAAAAGAGATAGCAGCAAGAAAAACAGCTGAAATTTAGCAATATTGATAATTGTTAAAACCTGATGATCAGTTATAACAATTCATTATAGTATTCTTTCTATTTTTGTGAATATTTGAAAGTTTTCTTAATGTCTCATTGTAAAAAGAAAGCAAAGAAATATGAAGACTGGGGACCGGGGATTTGTTCAGTGATTCTGCCGCCTGCCTGGCAACCGCAAGGACCTGAGTTCAATCTCTGGTACCAAAAATAAAAAAGAAAACTAACAACAACAAAAAAAGAAATATGAAGACTAGTAGTCTGTGTGCTAACTACTCAGTAATAGCATACTCAGAAAGAGGAAAACATAAAAATATAGAAAAGTGACTATTTGACAATAGTAATGATACATTTCTCAGAATTTAAAGATGGATCTAGTTTAAAGTGACAGGGCTGTGAAATAAATAACTTGCAACTAGACACACTGTATTAAAATATAGAAATACTGTACAAGATAAAATTCTTAAAGCTTCTTAAGCAAATTTCTATTTAACACAAGTGAAGAAGCATCAAGTTAATATCAGAATTTTCAATAGTAGCATTCTGTACAAGACAAAAAAGGAATAATATTTTGAAAGTATTGAAGTAAAGCTATTTTGAACCTAGAATTATATATCCACTTAAATGAGAGTGCAAGATCTCCAAACCTTGCCACACAAAGACTCACACTGAAATCATTTGAGAGAAAATATTTAAGAAGGAAAAGAAATCTGAGAACTGTTGCAAAGGATATAAAAAGTAAAGGTGGTAACAAATTGATAAAGGTGTTGTCTTAATGAATCTAAGACCAAAAAAGTGGGAGAGGATACATACACCATAATACAAACTTTAAATTTTGTTCAAAATCATGCTTATCATGTTCTCTGATCATAAAACAATTATATTAGGCATTAAAAGCAAAAACCTAAGTTAGAAATAACCCCAAAATTTTCAAATAAAAATGTTACTAATTATTGAGTCTAATAATCATAATTAACATATAAAATAACCAGAACTAAATTAAAATGAAAATATTAGCAAAAAATTTAACAAAATTTAGCAAAAGTTTTAGTTGAGAAGAATTTTATTACCTTAAATATTTATATAAAAAAAGAAGGGCTGAAAATTACTCAGTGAATTTATCATTTTAGTTAGAAGACTAACACGGTAAACTCGAAAGATACAATTAAAAACAGAAATAAGTTAACTACAAAACAAAGGTAAAATAGAGAAGAATAAAACAAAATTTAGTTTTTGGAAAAAACCAACAAAATAGAATAATCTCTGAAAAGATTTCCAAGGAAAAAGAAATAGCAAAACCAAATAACATTATAAATGAAAAGGTAATGTAACTATGGATAAAACAGTCTGAAAAAGTAATATCAATGCTTATTTTGAAAACAAAATTTGGAAAACGTACATGAATGAATTTCTAAAAAAATTTAATTTGTGAAAACTGACTCAAGAAGCTTTGGGGGAGGGGGATACTGGGGATTGAACTCAGGGCCTTCATACTGAGCTACATTGCCAGCTCTTTTTCATATTTAATTTTGAGACAGAGTCTTGCTAAGTCTCTAAGTTGCCTTGGCTGGACTCAAACTAGGCATCCTCTTGCCTCATTTTCCGAGAGTGCTGAGATTATAGGTGTGAGACATATATAAATTGCCCAGGAAGAAGCAATTTTTAAAAACTTGAAACTTCCCAACATGATTAATAAAATTGAAAGAGTAATGATTTTTTCACACAGAAAATTTTAGGCCTAGATGACTTTGTAGCAAACTCTATGAAACTTTCAAGGAAATTATCCTAAACACTACACAATCATTTTATTATAGTACAATATGCATAACATAAAGTCACCATTTTACTTATTTTAAGTGTGTAGTTCTATGGCGTGCATTGCATTCACATTGTTGTACAGCCATCACGAGCATCCATCACCAGAAGTTTGTTCATTTTTCCCAAGTGAAAGTCCTTACTCATCAAATGCTAACTTGTTATCTTTTGTCTTTTAGTAATAGCCATTCCAACAAGCATTGAGATGATAGGTCATTGTGTCTTTAATTTGCATTTCCCTAAAGATTAGTGTTCTTGAACATTTTTAATATACTGGTTGGACAGTTGCATGTCTTCTTTTGAGAAGTGTCTATTCTGGTTCTTTCCTTATTTTTGATTAAGTTATTTTCTTGTTATTGACACAGATACATGCAGACCCCTAAATTTTTAAGATATTAAAATAACTTAAGTACATTGTGCAAAGTGTATCACCATACAGGTTGGGGAGATAGCAATTGTATTCAGGTCTGTATGTTTCCAAATTTCATGTTTCTTCCACAAAGCCAGCACTGATAGGAAAGAAACCCTGCCCTCCACTCCCAGCCACTGTCTATTCTTCTGAAGATGTAATTCAGATTGACTGGAGGAGAAAAGAGAAAAACCCAGGGATGGGGTGCTTTTTAGATATTTTTATCTGATTTCCAGATATTTATGAAAGAATGTGGGTTTTCAAGAGAAAAGGCTTTCTGGGAAAGAAATACAAGTAAACCAAACCACTGATTTTTCTCTCCTTTCTTAGAACTCCTTGGGAGAGACTAAAGAAGGTGATGATGATTTAGTGTCTTCCCAGTTTTCTGCAAACACCCACAGTCTGGCAAGTGGCCTGTCAACCGTAAGCAATCTTCTAACACATGTGGACATTTCCTTCGTCTCTTATTAATTTTTGGTGCCTTTCCAGAAGAAATATGAATCCTCTTGAGAAAATGTGTGTGATGGAGTGAAACAGCCATTGTAGGTTCCCACTTACCCTTTTCCCACAGAGTACTCTTCAGTCTAATTTGGTGTGGGCTCTTTCCAAGGCCTTTGATTCCTTCCTTCCTTCTTCCATGGTCTTTGCCCAGGTTTTAAAATCTCTTCATTTCTACTTCATGAAGAACTAGAAGAAACGAGTTTGAATGTTTCCAACACAGAGAAATATTTTGTGTTTAAGGAGAAGGAAATGCTAATTACCCTGATTTGAATATTATACACTGGGTAACATGTATTAAATTATCAAACAATACCCTATAATTATGTACAATCATGTGTCAATTTTTAAAATATCTTCACTTCCTATTTTAGGCCTCAATCAGCTCAAGCCTATAAATTATTTCAGTTCTCTGCTGATAAGCTTCCCTGAAACCATTATTTCAATCCCCAACTGTCTATACTGCTGCTCAAAATTTTCCTAAAACACATACCCAGTCAGGTTGCTCTCCTACTTAGAAACTCTCCATAGCTTCCCTCTGCTACAGAATAAAGCACTTTCTTACTTTAGAGGCCAAGGCCTTCCCTGAGAGGAAGACTTTAGGAACCTCTCTTAGTCATATTCTTGTCACTGGGACAAACCAACGAACACTCATAATTTAAAGAAGTAGAAGTTTATTTTGGCTCACTTTCAATCCATAGTCAGCAGGCTCGAACACAGAAATGGCATGATGGAAGGGCCTATGCAAAGGAAAGCTCTCACATAATGCTGGCCAGAACGGAGAGAGAGAAGGGAGGGAAAAAAAAGGGAGACATACTCTTCCAGGTCACACTCCCAGTGACCCATCTCTTCTGACCAGACCCCACTTCCTAACAGCAAGTAAACTATATCTTCCTGATGATTCAGTCACCTTTCCAAAGCCCCACCTATGAGCACATGAGGTCTTTGAGGGACATTCTTGATCTAAACCATAACATCCACCCCTGAACCCAAAATATTCATGCACATCTCTTTACACAAAAATATAATTAGCTCATCGCTAAGAGTCACTAAATTCTTAACAGCTCCAGTACTGCTGAAAAGTCCAAGTCCAAAGTATCCTCTGAGACTCAAGGTAAACTTTAGCTTGAGCCCCTGTAAAAATAAAAAATAATGTTAAACACTGCTAACATACAATGACACAGGGTAGACATTCCTATTCCAAAAGGAATCCATGGGGCTTAGAAACCAATGGGACCAAAGCAAGACTGAAGCCCAGCAAGGCAATTATTAAATCCCATAGTACTAGGTCCAGCATGTGAGGCAGGTGGTGTGGAGATGCCTTGCCCCTACAACATTGCCAGTTGTAGCTCTCATGGCCTCTCTCTTGAGGTGGCTCTTCTCACTGCATTTTCAGCTTCCCTTCACAGCTTCATATGCTTCCCTTTCAGCGGCACACTGCTTCGCCTCCCAGTCCTTCTGAAATCTGGGTGGAAGCCTCCATGACCCTGTAACTGTTGCATTCTGCATCCCCATAAAAGCAGAACCACATGGATGATGATTCCAAATTTCATGTTTCTTCCACAAAGCAAGCACTGATAGGAAAGAAACCCTGCCCTCCACCTCCAGCCACTGTCTATTCTTTTTTTTTTTTTTTTGGTACCAGGGATTGAACTCAGGACCTTGTGCTTGTGAGGCAGGCAGCAGAACCACTGAGCTAAATACCCAGCCCCTGTCTATTCTTCTAAAGGTGTAATTCACATTGACTGGAGGAGAAAAGAGAAAAACCTAAGAATGGGGTAATGCCAAAGTCTACTACCAGCTTAGACACCCTTGGATCATGGCTGCAGAGGTCTCTGAGTGCCTGAGTGGCTAAGTATTATGAAACAGATCTTGGGGAAACAATTAATGAGCAGGGTGTGCTGGAACTCTCTTCTCAAAGCAAAGCTTTTTACTTTTGTACCTTTGAGCCAGGGAAGGACAAGGTCTTGCTGAGTTCCAGGATCCCCTCAAGGCATCCTTCCTGTTGTGCTGATACAAAGTACTTGGCTTCTTTTTTTTTTTTTTTTTCTGTACCAGGGATTTAACTTGGGACCTTGCACTTGCGAGGCAGGTGCCGGAACCACTGAGCTAAATCCCCAGCCCTATTTGGCTTCTTTTTAATGCTAATCTTTCCAGCAACCAAGCTGTACTGGACCAAAATCACATTCCTTAACTATACAGGCCCCAATTTTACAAGACCTTCCTTTATAGCCACCAGCAATACTTTTCAAATTATTTAGTTCTGCTTTTTGGTCCTTCTCATGACAGACATGGCTAAAAGCTACCAGAAAGATCCATGTGAGAACCTCCCCATTGGCTTCCTTGAAATTTCCTCCACTGGTTTAATTAGTCCACTCCCCTTATTCTCAGTCTTTTGCAGAGTATCAGGACATGAGCAAATGTAGATAAATTTTCTGCCAGAGCATAACACATAGAATTTGGAGTCCAACTGCCAATGGAGTTCTTTTTCTCAACTGAACCCTCCAGACCCAGGTCTTTACCTTCTGCATTTTTGTCAGCTTTCTTTTATTCTGAGGTGCTCCCCCCATGGCAACCAGGAAGCAGAGTGGGAAGAAAAGAGGCATGGAGAGAGCATGACTCCAATAACCAGGCTCTAACCAGACCTCACCACCTCCCAGCAAGTCAGCTGTAGCAAGCACCCCCATTATCCAATCACCTTCTACAAGCCACATCTATGAAACATGAGGACTTTGAAGAGCAAAACCCCTGTGTCCTGTACAAGTGCCCATAAGTCTTTTTCTTTGCTTTTCTGATTTCTATTGCTTTAATACCTTTTTTCTTTTGATCTTTGGATGATTTCCTTAAAGAATTCTCAAGCAGGCTCTGACAGGAAGTGGACCTACCTAAATGTGCCTGATGCTGATTCAGACACTGTGAGTGGTTAATTCTTCTTTTCCTTCTTTCTAACTATACTTCACAAATTTCATGGTTTGGTAAATTTTATTAGGTGGAGAATGCTTTCAGCATTTTTAAAAAACTTGTGCACAATTGACCAGAGGTTCTTTTGAAAAGACTAAAGGGTTTATCAGAACTCAAGCATTGCATTTCATTAAACATTAGAATCTGAGCTCAGAAGACCAGTCAAAAGACATGATCCAAAATGGTTTACCATTAACAAGACCTTTGTTTTGTTTTGTTTTGTTTGGTACCGGGGATCAAATTCCGGTCCTTGCATTTGCGCAGCAGGCGGCGAAACCACTGAGCTAAATCCCCGGCCCAACAAGACCTTTGAAGTAAACTTCTGTACTGTATGTCACAGGTCTGGCGTGGTTAAAAGCATAGATTTTGGTTAATAGTAAAATTGCTAAGACTGCGTTTAACTCTCCCAGGCCCCAGCATTTGTGGATTCTTAAATCCTCTATCCATTAGGGTTTCTCTCTTACAATGGACACTCTTTGATGATGGGGCTCTAGAGATATGTGGTGAAATTGCAAGTCAATCATGCAAGCAGGCTGTGAGATGAGTTTGGGAGGCCCTCTGACTAGAAACCTGAAACTTCACTTTATGTTTTAGCATTGCCAACAGTGTGTAGGAGCCAGTTTTCTCCTGTGTAACATGAGAGAGTTGAGACTTATTCTTGAAGTCCTTCATAGTCAAAGCATGGTCCAGGGACCAACAATGTTGCATAACCTCGGACAAAGACTAAAATTTTCTCAGTTCACAGAGCTCCTAGAGCAGTGATGGTGAACCTATGGCACACGTATTGTAGTGGGCTGTTTATATCATTGAAAGCTCTAAAAGGTTTGCCATCAGTGCCCTAGAGTCTTAGTAATTCTTTCATGGTACTCTTAGGTCCAAAATAACAACTGACTAGTCAATTTATTACATCATTAGGTTCAAACAGCTTAATAAGCTCTTGTATCCTAACAACTTTATAGCTATTTAAAAAAATAATACAGGTAAGTTGAAATAAAAATGAAATTGTATTCCATTCTTAAGTAGCCTTTATTACCTACTTGTAAGATATGTGTGCCTGTTGAGCACTACAGTTTCTCAAATCGTGGAATCTGATTGGACATCACCACATTCCACATTGATTTTTATGAAACATTTGTTTTTTGTTGCAGAAACTGCCAAACAGTTTCTTGGGCTGAAAATTAATATAGCAGGAAACTAAGTGACTTGCTTTCTCTCTTTATTATAGACTTCCTTGCTTGTTATAAAGAACAAGAATTATAATTGAATGAAGGGGGCTGGGTTTTCTGAAGACATCTTGCCTTCTTTCATCTTGTTTATTCCAGACAAGCCTTAACAGCATGATGAGTGTTTACAGTGAAACAGGCGACTATGGCAATGTGAAGGTCAGTGGTGAAATCCTTCTCCACATCAGCTACTGCTACAAAACTGGCGGGCTCAACATTTTTGTCAAGAATTGCAGAAATCTGGCCATAGGAGATGAAAAGAAACAAAGGACAGATGCGTAAGCACATAGCATGTTCCTCAGACTATTTCAAGTACTGTCTTCTTTGTATGTATGTTTCTTTTCCAGAAGAGCCTTAGTATTCCTCTTCATTCAGAGCATTTTCAGAGCGTTGTCACTTTCCTCCTATACTGCATGTTGAAATATTCTTTGACTTATGTAAACAATGGCTATGTCCTTGGTTATTCAATTTTTAAGAGTCCAGTGCTCAACATGATTCAGGAATGACAAATCTGTAGTTTACACAGAGCTGCTCTTTGAGATAGAAGCTGACATTTGGCACACTCGGAATGTACAAGAATTTCCTGTTGGTTTTTGTTCTGGGAAATCTTCCAGAGAAAATTACCAAGCTGTTACCCAATTGAACGATGCAGAAGAGCAATTATTAGGCTCTCAGGATTCTAGGGGTCAGCCAGGGAGAGCAGGTATGAAACATGGGTTGGAGGGGAGCAAGATGTAAAGGTGTGCCAGTAGTCCCCACGAAAACTGCCAGGTACAATGATTCACTGGAAGGACCCATATGACTCTAGATGTTCTTATAATCAGTAAAGAGAAAAGACACATGGAATGAAGTCATAAAGACACGAGACTCAAGCTTCCAAGGATCCTCTTCCAATGAAGTCATATAGGATGCACTTAACTCTTGTAAAATATTTTCTACCAGGAAAGCTTGTTAGAGATTTAGCTGGTCACATACCAAATTTCCAGGCTCCTACAAGGAAACCGAATGTTCAGCATGAGCTACATTGTTTGTGCAAACAGTTTGGTCTCAATGAGCACGTTTATCAGTTCTAAGAACAGTGAGAAAAACTTCCAAAATCCAAGTTCCCAGGTGCCACCCAATGGCCCAACTTGCAAGTAAGACTCTCAGAATGACAATCTCGGGGGCCTACCGTGTCAACTCTTTTCTGCATAATCAGTGACCTAGGTTCAATAAACAACTTAGTGGAGCTGGTTTCAAGAATCCTAAGATAGACAAATGAATGGATTCTGACTACAGAATGGTCTACCTGGCTCCTCCACTAAATTTCAGAAGACTGCAGGACCAAGGTATTTCTTTTTTTTTTTTTTTTTTTTTGGTACCAGGGATCAAACTCGGGTCCTTGCGCTTGCACAGCAGGCCAATGTATTTCTTTTAATTAACAGGGAAAAGGGCCATCTAAAACTCTGCAGATGTGCTTCAAAACCTGGTAGCATCCTGTGTGTTTTAATCTCCAAGGGGCTCCTAAGATAACTCAAGCCAAAGTGTTGAATCAAATTGCTACTATGATTTCAAGTTGTCATTTTCTACTTTTTTGTCACTATTATCTTTCATTCCCATTGACTCCATTGCCTGACATAAGAAAGTGGGACTAGGTGAGTAAGTTTGTGAAACCATTGACAATAACTGATTGCACTTATTGAATACTACAATACGTCAACCACTTATATGTGCCAACTAATTTAATCCTGACATTTCCATGAGTTATATACTGTTATTATCCCAGTTTTACCATGGTGGAAACTAAGGCACAAGAACGTTAAATTCTTGGTGTTATCAGAACCAGTGAGGCATGGGGTGATTCCAAAATCAGCTAGCTTGATTCCAGATCCTTCAGTCTTTACCACTATTCTTTACTGCTTCTCCCCCATGAAACACCTTATATAGACTACATCATCTTTGGTTCTGTCTCTGATGCTTTCAGCATAATTCGCTGAAATCCTTAAGCATTTCTTGCAAAGTAGAAGTTTCCAAATAATTGCTTTGATCCTTTATTCTCTATAGTTATGTCAAGTCATACCTTCTTCCTGACAAGTCCCGAAACAATAAGCGCAAGACTAAAATCAGAACAGGCACCAATCCAGAATTCAATGAAACACTAAAGGTAAATAAATACTCTTATAGAAACACAGGTGATATTGATCAGAACCTCATTGATTTAGAAGTAACTATAATGAAACTTTTATTTGTGTGTTGAGACTTGTATACGTTTTAGAAAATTGGAATTTGAGTTAAGGTAATACTCCTGGCCTTCCTAATAGTTTTTGGAACAGAAAAAAATGTAAAATACTTACTTTTTCACTTGGCTGCTGCTGCTGTTGCTGCTGCTAAAGTTGTACCTTAAGTAGAGATGATCCAGCAAAATTACATTCAAACTGATAAATCTTTGTCACAAAGCATGTTTCACCTTTGGGAAAACTGCTTTTTTCAGACTCATTTAAGTAAAGTTTGTCAGAATTTTGGCACAAATTTAATAGGTCATTTTGTACACAATCATTATTTTGCTTATATAGCATATATATATGCTGTTTCTTGTCATTATTTCAGAATTCTGCTAAATTTAGGGATATAGTTAATGAAGAGTGGAGAGGCAAGGTCAAATTTGAGAATTCTCAGAAAAAGTGGCCTAGATAAAATATGACCCAGGCCTTAATCCTAAAGAAATTACTACTTCTAATGAGCTTTCATGTTACAATTGCTTCTCTCATCTTGGACCAATCAGGCCTAGTAAGAAACACCCAGAGAGAATGAAATGTAGAAATTATAGCCAGTCTCAGGAAATTGATGGACTTGTGCCTGGCGTGATGAAGTCAAAGTTAAGCATAGAATAAAGGTGATGATGACAGAAGCCATGAGCTGACGCGGTTCAGGGGAGGCACTGTGGAAGCATGAGCCAACATCAAGATAAGGCAAACTCAAAATGAATAAATACAGACAGAGGATGAATCCAGTTACCATGACAGAATAGATAACAAAGATAAGCCCAAACAGAAGAGATAAACATGGTGATGGAAGCAGGGAGCCGAGATGAATCATGATAGAACAAAAAGGACAGGAACACACATATCCAACATCAGAAGTCAGCCAGAAGTATGACCCAGAGGGTGGTTGTATAGAAGAAGCAAAAATTTGGAAGGCATGTGGGCTGTGGCCCTGGGGAACAGCCTGCTGAAAAAGGAAAAGGTAACCCAGTAATATCCTCTTTCTGCTCACTCTGCGTATGTATCTTGTCACTTCTACAATGAGTCCAAGATTTATGAAGTTTAGTGTCCACAAGTTTGTCATTCTCAATACTTTTCAAGACTTAGGGGGTTTATTGTAAATAAATCAGATATAATTTGGAGAAATGATATATTTAACTTTAAGCTACCAAGTCAATGTGAAAAAATAAATAGGCAAATAAAAAGAAGGTAAAGCTAGAAAGAGGATAAGCTTCATCACCTGACACTTTTAATACCATATCTGAAGTTTATTCCTCTCCCAAATAATTTGTTTATATATCTTTCTTCACTACATCTGGCATAAAATTAGTTAATGGAACAGAGCCTCAATTATAGCAGAAGCAAACTGGTTTTGTGTTTGTTTTGTTTATATTACTGATGCCTATGTTCTGAAAGATGGTGGCAGGAAATTTCAATTTGCTCTGGAATTGGACAGAGCCTTCCTTATGGAATGTGATGTTGTCAATTTCATTTGCAGTATACCATCAGCCATACCCAGCTGGAAACAAGAACTCTTCAGCTCTCAGTCTGGCACTATGATCGGTTTGGACATAACAGCTTCCTCGGCGAGGTGGAGATTCCTTTTGACTCATGGAACTTTGAAAATCCATGTGATGAATGGTTTGTGCTTCAGCCCAAGGTAAGACATACTTTTAGATTAGTCAAACAGTTAAGCATTCAGGCAAGTTCGAGCAAAATTGATGTCACACGGCTGAAGAATCTGAAGGTTTCCAAAGGTCAAGTGATAGTCTGCAAAGATTAGTGGAGCAATATTGGAATATTATAGTAAATGTTAATCCATAGTTTTGGAAACTTCATGGAAATAGATTGCCATATAATAATATGTATTATTAATTTTATTACTAAATATATATTCATCATTTGAAGCTCTCTGTGAATAATCAAAAGAGCCACATTATATGATCCTATCAGAATGAGAATGTCTTCATATGCATATAGGCAAAAGAAATCTGAAAGGCATGAACAATTTCAAAACAGCCTCTGTTTCTCATTATCTACAGTTTGGACCATAAGCAGGATTAGTATTGCCTTGGCTCACATGAGAGAGTGACCAGGAGCCACAGTATCTGACTTCCTACATTCCTCATTCCTATTTTTAGGATTCATAATGCAGGACTTGAGTTGCAGTCAGAAAAACCAGAGAGCTGATTCTATAAATTAAGTGCAAGTGTAGTATAGCATGTTTTAATCTGTACCCTCAGTGCATTGGATTCACTGCAGGCAACTGGAGTCTTTATAGATTTCTGGCAATTTTTAAGTTGAAAGAAAGGTGGGAAAAAATCATATTTATGCTACCAAAGGTTGTTCTTTATATACAGAGAGGCAAAAACCATTACAGTAAAATGGTGGATTTATATCAGACTTAACTTGGTTCGTTCCTGGTTTCATGACTTCTTATGTGACCTTCAACAAATAACTTCCTGAGCATTGATGTTATCACTTGTAATATACAGATGCAGCTTGTAGGGCTGCTGTGAAGCTTGAATAAGCATGTTATGTAAGGCTTCCAGCATTCTATCAGGTACATTGTAAGCTCTCAATAAATACTAGGTAGTACACATATTATTTAGGAGTCCTTGCATTACAATAGACAGAAACCTCAGGTCCTACTGATCAAAAATCAAGGAAAGATATTGGCTAGTGATAATGAAGCATAGCTTGATCCAGATGTTCAAATCTTACCAAAGCCTTGGAGTCTCTTGGTTCTCTTCTCTTTATTGCTTTTATATTCAGTTTCCAAATACTCTTGGAAACTAGGTCTTACCAGACCTAAGCATGCTTCTCTTGAGATCTAAGGGTTACAGTGGCTTAAAGGCTCTCATCTTTGCATCACACTGTCCAGAAAGAAGAAAAAGTTCTTCCTCCTCCAACAATACCTTGGGCATTGGGAAAACAAGAGTTCTAATTACATTATTTGCCCATCCTGAGCTAATGACTGTGGTCAGAGAAGTAAGATGCATTGGCTGGCTTAAGACAATCAGAACTTGTCCTGGTTTAAAGGTGAGATTGCCCCAAAAGAAATCCAGGCCTAGTAGCACAAAGGGAAACCTGAAGAGTACTAGACAGTAAAAAATCATGCACCCCATATCATCACCAACAATAGCAGTTTTCTCATTTAATGATTGCAATAACCCTATTGGGTAGTTACCATTATCTCCATTTTATAGATGAGGAGACTGAGACTCAGAAGTTAAATAGAACTTAATGATGGGGTTTATAATTGTTGACCAGAAACTTGCCATAAATAATTCATAGAAAACTTTTAGGATATATATTTGAGCTGTGGGCAAAATTGAAATCAAACACAATTTCTTACAAATAAGATAACACTAAGCCCATGACCGACATGAATGTGATAAAGAGGGGACATACATTATTAATAGCAAATGGTTCCACAATAGCATAATATTCCCCTGACATTAAAAGTAGGAAATATTTTGTCATTCAACATTAAGTCTCTTGGAATTGAATAAAAAGCCTCAGCCTAAAAGGTAGCACTGATAGAACGTGGCAGTCTCCTATCAGTTGCATTGTTTTGTGTCTTATGAATGAGTATAATTACTAGAAAATGTCTAAGACATCATATTGTGCATAACACAGACAAAAGACAATTAGCATGCATCTTAGTGTGTGAAATTTATCTGTTAGGAAGTTAATATTAAAGGGCCAGGGATTTAGCTCAGTGGTTCCAGTACCTGCCTTGAAAGCACAAGGTTCCAAGTTCTATCCCTAGTACAAAAAAAAAAAACACAAATGTAGAAAGTTAATATTAAAGCACATAGGAGCTCTTTGAAAATCAATTTGTGAGAGAAAAGAAGCATCCTTCCAGGTATCTTTCTGGAAATGGCTGAAAGACTTCACTGGGATGATATCTAAGCTCTCCAAGGCCTTTCGCAGGCATCCTTTATGCTTAGAGACCACAGTAATCACTTCCAGGTTGCCATTGGGTGGTTCCGTTTCTATTATAAGAGGAAAGCATCTCTGGGTCTCTCTGAGCCCACTGGAGGTAATAGTTAGGATGGTGTGTACTGTATGTGGGCCACCATACATCCTCAGCCAGATCCGCAGGCATTCCTAACCATTCTAGGAGGTTTGTTTCAACAACCTCTTCCTGAAGCTCTCCTTCAAAGTCTGGCCTCAGGCTATTGTGGCTTTCTGCCCACCAGGGCAGATAAACAAAAGTTCTTAGGAATTTTTGTGCCCCTTCCATGAGGCAATCCTTAGTCAATAAGCAATAGGCAAGGGAGTATGAAAGCCCACTTCCCTTACTGAGAGGGAGAAAAATCCTGGAGTGTTACTTATCCTCCAAAGCATCCCTGCCACATTGGGCTGAAGCTACCTTCCATGCAACATTGCCTAAGATTGTAGTCATATCTGTCCCACTTTCTCCACCCCTTTACTGGTTGGTCTTTATGGGTGGCACTTCTTTAATAAATCACTTGTATAAGAATCTTCACCTCAGAGTCTGCTGAATGCACACTGGAGAACCCAACAGTAGTATCCCTAATTCACATCATCATCCTCTGCCAAGCTTCCTCTGACACATAGAGGAAAAGCCTAAGACTCAGACTTTTGCTTATATACCACACCACACAAAACTGAGACAGGTGCCAAGGCATGCTATGTATGCTGAGCTGATGTGTTAGCCAGGTTTCTTTTACTGTGACAAAATACCTGAGGTAACTTAAAAAGAAGAAAGTTTCATTTTGGCTCACAGTTTCAGTCCTTGATCAACTGGCCCTTTTGGCTTGGACCTGTGGCAAGGCAATGCACTATTATGTAAGCAGATGGCAGGGGAAGGCTATTTTCATGGTGGCTAGGAAGCAAAAACAGGAAGGTCTGAGGTCCCAATATCCCCTCTGAGGGCATGCCTTTGATAACCTAACTTCTTCCCACCGGTCCAACTTCTTAAAAGTTCCACTACTTCCTGATAACACCACAAGCTGCCAACCAAGCTTTCAACGCATGGGCATTTGGGAGACGTTCCAGATCCAAATGATAGCAGCTGAGCTTTCAGTGGCTAACTGTCAGCCAGTTATGTGAAGTGTCACTTCATTCTGAGTCTTCTCTCAGTAATTTCAGTGCAATAGGCACTCCATCAGCTGCAGATGTAGTAGAGTAGCCCAGGAGACTAGATGTTTCTGGCAGATTATCCAGCTGAGAAGGTAAAGTGGGAGCTACAGGGACTGATTTCCCTAGTAATAAGGGATCAGAATTAGTAGTCCTTAAACATTGCAAAATACTGACATTCTTTTACATTAGGAATGGCAAGATGACATGCTGCCTGATTACTTATTGACTCTGTGTTATGGAAAATCCCTTGGCACCTGTTCTTGTTTGTGTTAGATCTTACAGCAGAAGCCAGTGAGAAAGCCAGTACAGACAGAGAAAGAACTCAAGATGTAAAAAAAAAAAAATCTTGAAATGTCAAACTTGAGTACGTCAAAGTAGTTTCACAATATAACTTCCATTTTATTGCATGACATAGGATTACTTACTAGGTATAAATTAGATATAACTCATTATCTGGCTGAAAGGGAGATTAGGTACTCACACAAGAACTGTTTGTCACTAAGAATTGCCTTTCAAGCCTTCCCAGGAGCTACTATTATAAAAACAAGGACCTTTGAAAATCAACAGCAAGCCTAAGTGATTTTTTCCAAGGAAACATTCTCTTATTCTGCCTTCATGCAGAGACTAAATGAAGCTCCTGTGGAATTATTGGCTGGATAAAGGCTCCCTGTATACTGGGAAGTTTAGGCACACTCTTATCTGAGGATATCCGGTGCATTCAAGGTAGTCTGGCCAAAAACAAGCATACTTTTATCTGTAATTTATCATCCCACCTGTAAAGGCATTGAGAATTGTCTGTTTCTTTATCTGATGAAAAGTATATCTCTCTCTATTTTCAAGAAGCAGAAGATAGTGAATGTCATCTGATTATTTCACATCCCTGTTCAGGTAGTCTGAATAGTTCCCTATTGCTTTTGCATATGGTTGAATCAATGGTAGCTCTCACCTTGGCACTCAGTACTCTTGATATTGTCCAGCCTTCTGTTGCAGCCTGGGATATCTGTACTCTACTCATATCACTACTTTCAGGCAAATGCAGCTCTCCATGGCTTTAAAACTCACCAGTTAACACATGCCCATCTTTGTAGGAGGGAGGCCTGGGGCTATTAGAATGGGCCTGGTCTGTGGGCATGGAAAGCCAGAAAAGCCTGGGAATTTAAATTCCTGAAGAATGAGAGCAGAGCCTTTGATCAATGACTGATGATAAAGGACCATAATCACTTCCATCTCTTTGCTTCTTGCCTTAGTTACTTTTCTCATTATTGAGACAAAATACCTGACACCCAAAGTTAAAGGGGCAAAGGTTTATTTAGCTCACAGTTTGTAGAGGTTGCAGTCCATAACTGACTGGCTCCAAGGCAGGGTGGCACATGGCAGACAGGCATCACAGAGGAGAAACAGTTCATGGTAGGAAGAAAGCATCAAAGCAAGCAAGGGACCTTAGCAGCTTCTTTCTGCCCCTTTTATGCTCTATCTAGGCTACTGGGATTAGGGTAGTGCCAAACCAATCAGTGGACTGACTTAGTAATCACACAACCTTAATCTTAGCATCACATACTCTAGATCCAGTTACTGAGTGGAATTAAAGAAATAACACTCAGAATAGAGTACAGACCCACAAGAAAGAGGTCATTATGATCTGGGGCTGGGGGGTTTTATGCAATCTTGAGGGTATCTCCCAGATGGGTGATCTAGAATGTATACTGCTGTCTCTCAGGCTGCTGATTTGATGAGCTGGATTAAAATTCAAACCATTTGCATGTATTTGAAGTTTAGAGGTATGCTACCCACTTAGTGTTTCTACTTGAGGGTGTAGGTCTATGGGAGAAAAGGCAATTGACACATGGAAAGTATGAGCCCAACTTGCTGGCTTATTGTATCTTCAAGACCCTTAGGAATTTTTTGGAGTAAGTTTCCTGATAAAGAAAAAGACATTGTAACTTTGGGTAATTTTTATGTCCTGAAACTGAGGTTTTCTTTCTTTCTTTTCTTTTCTTTTCTTTTTTTTTTTTTTGGTAGCAGGGATTGATGCTTGCAAGGCAGGCCACTGAGCTAAATCCCCAGCCCAAACTGAGGTTTTCTTAAAAGTATAATTTTAAAATTAGAACTTTCGTTGTATCCTTTCTACTTACCTTTATTTCTTCTATATTAGGTCAATAGCTCACTACAGCTTTAATATGAGTTTCTCTGATGATTAGTGATTTTAAACATTTTTTTTGTAAACCTTTTAACCATTTTTGCATGTGTTCTTCTGAGAAATACCTATTAAGTTTTATCCATTTTAATCAGGTTATTTATTTTCTTATTATTGAGTTATTTGAGTTCCCTATATATGATACAGGAAAGAATACCAGAGATGAAATATGAAATATGATTATCTCCCAACCTGTTAACTGTCTGATGCACCGAGCTCCTGCTCTTTAAAAATCGAAGAATGAATTCTAGAAACAATGGTGATTAAGAGTAGGAAGATATTTATTGATAGGAAAGCTCCTGAGGGGAAGGAGGAGTCCTGAATGGGTAGCCAGGCACCTCACTCTATAGGGAAGTTTTATAGGGTGAAACCAACGTGGATACAACGTGGGCAACAGTCATGGTCATCCAATAAGGTTACAAGTACAGTCACTTAGGTAATAGTGGTCTAATTGGGAAACAAGTCACACAACAAACGTGGATGGAAATAACAAGGATTTCTCCTAGGAAATGGTGGATCCAGAGGTCTCTGGTCACCCACCAGGGTGGCTGATGTCTATCTAGACTTCATTAGGCCCGGTATTTGTTCTTTAAGGAAGTATGTACATCTGGTCATCTTGTCTTTACCTTGAGGCTCGGTTTCCAACAGTTGTGTCTCTGGCTACAGCTATAGCATGTTTCACCTTTGTTCTGACTCTCTCGAGGACCTAGTCCTTTCTGACTGCCTATAATATTTCTACCTAACTCTTCTGTCTATAATGCATATTTTGGATACTAATCCCTTATCAGATGTATGGGTTGAAAATATTTCCCCCTTTTCCTGACATTGTCTCCTCACTCTGTTGATTGCTTTCTTTTTTTTTTCGCAGGCTGCTTTTAGGGTGGATCTGTGACCACAGATTGAAACAAAAGGTTTTTCACAGGAGAAAGAGAAGTAAAAATGCTTTTCTATGCCACTGCATTTTTTTCTATAAAAATAGGATACTTTACTAAGTTAACAAAGTATAACAATTTATCTCAAATTATTATAAATAAAAATTGATTGCAGTATTTATAGCAAGATTTAAAGAAATACATATATCTCCTTATTACCTTTAAACAGTAATCATTCACTACTTAATCTAATCTTGACACTTGCTCAATGCTTAAGCAAGTAGGATTCACCCTGTGTCTTTTATTAGAATTACAGTACTGCATGGGGTTGATGCTTGGCTTTATCTTTTTTTTTTCTGTATATCCTTTTATTGGTACATTTAATGACATTCATCATTGGAAATTTGCACCTTTACATAATCTCTCTTGGTTCATTTTTCCCCCTTCCCCTGCCCTCCCTTCAACCCCTCCACCCCTCCCTATTTACAAAGACTTTGTTTCCTTTTTTTCATTTTCTCATATTAATTCCATTCCCTTCTTTCCTTTCCCCTACCCCTCCCACTTCCCCTCCCCCTTTGCCCCTTTTCTTCCCATTTCACATTATCTATTATACCTTTTAGGCCTTATTTACACTTTCAGTTTCTCACACTACAGAAACTATTCGGTATTTGCACATGTGTGTCCTATTTATTTCACTTAAGAGTATCACCTCAATGTGCAGCCATTTAGCAATAAATGTCTCCAATTTCTCATTTTTTATGGCTGAGTAGTACTCCATTTTATTAAAAAGCCACATTTTCTTTATCCAGTCTCCAGTTGATGGGCAGTTGGGCTGTTTCCAAGTTTTAGCTATTACAAACTGATTGCTTTCTTTGCTGTGCAGAAGATTTTAGTTTGATATAAACTTGTTTGTTTTTGTTGTCTTTGCTTCTGGGGTCATATCCAAAATTATTGCCTAGAGCTTTCCCCCTATTTCTGGTAGTTTTACCATCAAGCCTTACAGTTAAGTCTCTAATCTATTTTGCCTTGATTTTTTGTATGTGGTGTGAAATAGGGTCCATGTCATTCTTTTGCAGGTGGATATCCAATTTTCCCAACACTATTTATTGAAAAGACTTTCCTTTCCCCATTGTGTGTTTTGAATACCTTTGTTGAAAATCACTTGATCGTACTGCATATATTTATTTCTGGGCTTTTTTTCTGTACTATTTGTCTTTTTTTTAATGCCAGTATCATATGATTTTGAATATTTTAGCTTACCAATGCATTTCTTAAACATGTATTTAACTTAAAACAAATGATTGTGCATTCATATGCAAATCTTCTCATATAAAGACAATTTTGTTTGAACATGGGTTCAATAGTTAAAATTTTGACATCTTTTTGGCATTAATTCTACTCCTAATCCATCATCATAAACAGTTTCTAACATGAGTTTTTCTAAAATGAAACAAGGATCATTAAACAAAATACTTCAAATGTTCAAGTTTTTTTTCACCCTTCTTACTAGTAAGTTTTACCACCACCAATAGAAATGAAAGTCAGGCAGTCAAGCAAGCATTTTTTTTCTTTATCGTGATCCCAGATGTATGTGAGTGCGTGCGTGTGCATGCATATGTGTGTGTGTGTGTGTGTGTGTGTGTGTGTACGTGCTCTGAGCCTTGAACAGCCTGTGGCTTTGCTGTGACAGGGTTGGGTTTCTGAACTTTTATCTGCCCTCTCTGAAGAGAGCAGCTCTCTGCCTTTGACTCAATTCGCAGGAGTCAAGTCTCTCAGGCAAAAGCCTGAGGAAGTACACAACCTTTGCTATTCCATCTGTACAAAACCGAAGTTCAGTTGACTCAGTGCCAAGAGGGAGACTCATAGAATAGGTGTTTTGGGTATATGTGAACACTGACTTGTAAATTTTGAACTTTTTATTTTGGCATCATTATAACTCTGCACGCAGCTATAAAAGATAATACAAAGAGGTCCCATGTACTCATTACTCTGTTCCCCAGTGGGAACATATTGCAAAGCTGTAGCATGACATCACCACTAAGAAACTGACATTGATATGATCCACCAATTTTATTCAGATTTCCCATTTTTACTGGTACTTATTTGTGAGTGTGTGCACAAGGGGGTGTGCATATTTAGTTCTGTATGATTTTATGATGTGTGTGAGTTTGTGTATTTACCACCATAGTCAAGATACAGAGCAGTTCCATTACCATACATATCCCTCAGGCTGACTTGCTTAACCACAACCACCTGACTCCCACTGTCTTCATCCCTAACCTTGGCAACCACTAACCCATTCTCCATCTCTACAATTTGTCATTTCAAGAATGTTATGTAAATGGAACCCGTTCAGACTAGCTTTCATCACTAAGAATAATTCTCTAGAGATTCATCCAAGTTGTTGCATGTATCAACAGTCTTTTGCTTTTCATTACTGCTTAGTAGTTCATGGTATGGATGTACCATAGTTTGTTTAATGATTCACCTGTTAAAGGATATTTAGGTTGTTTCTGGTATTCTTGCTATTACAAATAAAGCTAATATAAATATTATATTAGTATCCATATGTTATGTGGACATAATTTTTTATTTATCTAGAATAAATGCTCAAGTATAAATTCTGGGTTTTTTGATAGCTGCATGTTTAGTCTTATAAGAAGACTGTTTTCCAGAGTGACTGCACCATTTTATATTTCCACAAGCAATGTTCAAGTGAACCATTTTTCCATATAAATAATTGATGCAAATTATCAATATTACCTTCAATGACTTGTGGCTGGAAGCCCATTGTGAATCATATACGACTCCCTACTTTTCCCTTCTTGGTCAGTTAGGAAAGCTTTGAGACATCAAACAGGGAGAAGTGACTTCTGGGACTATTTTCAGTGGCATCATTATTCCTGCCTCATGTCCTGTAGCATATCTGAGTTAGTCTTCAATGTATCACAGACACTCAATATCAATTGATGGACAAAATAGATGTTATATATCTCCTTTTAGATTCCTTTTCCTTTCATGTTGAAAGTTATATGCAAATGCCTTAGTAGAGTTTTCCCACCTTTCTTTTTCTCATGTCAGTTATCTCAAACCAGTAAGAAATAGCATAGTTGAATGGCAATGGATAGTCACATTTAAGCCACCAAATAAATACTGCACATTCAAACATGGGTTGTAAAGTACTAAGTCAAGCAAGTATTCTTACACTTTCTTTTCAACTGTCTCTTCTTGGCCAGGTGGAATTTGCTCCTGATATTGGCCTTCAGTACAAAGGAGAGCTGACTGTTGTTTTACGATACACTCCCCCAGGGGAAAGTGTCATGCTTCCACTAGGACAACTTCAAGGTAGAGTAAAACTCCAAGACATTGATCACTGACACTCTATTTCTACGAGTATGGGACTAGCTATTAGGGATTGGTCAGACAAAATGTTACTTTTGCACTAAACAGATGAAATATAAAGGATTAGGTGTCACTGTCTTTTGAGGAGAGTTGAAAAATATACACTACATAAATAGAAGGATGTGGGATTCATACAAGGAAAAGAAGGCAAAAATTCACATCTTAGAAATGAGCCTTGCTCCAAAGGTTTCTTTCCTGTCAGTCCCAGAGATATAAGATCTTCCACAGGGTGGGAGATCTTCTAGGAGGGGGTGTAGGGAGCTGCTGTTTAGATTTATGTCATTTACAGCTGCTCAAGGAGTCTTGAGGAAAAAGCTTATGTAGAAGACAGAATTCAAAGGACAAATCCAGATGGAGTCAACCTGTAAATCTCTTGCCCTTCCCCTTCCATCAACTCCTCCAGGCAGCCTCCTTTATCCCCCCATCATGATCACTATATTTGGTGTGCTAGTGACTTACTGTCACCTAGTCTCAGTTTCCTCACTCTAGTTGTGAGGATTAAATAGGTTCATGCATGTAAGATGCCTAAAAATGTACTAAGTAAAGGTAGTGGATGTCATTCATGTTGATCACATTTCATCAGAATAACAGGCTGAGGTAGGAAACAGTTTTCTTTCACTTCCAGTACTCACCCTGTGTGAAGATGACAATTTACAAGAAGGGAGTCATGGAATTTTCTCTTCGGAATCAGTTCAAAATATCAAAAGAGGAGAATTATGGAATTTTTCTCTTTTGGAGCCTTGATTCTTGTGTCTGGCTTTCATTACAGATATTTCTCACTAAGAGCAGGAATGGTGACCCAGGTATCTTTCAGGGTCTTTTCCATTACATTCCTTTAGATCCTGTGAAAGACATATTTTATAGGAGAGTGGTTAGAATTTTAAATTTATTTGCCCGTTTTTGTCAACAAACACACATGTAAAACCTATCCAGAAGGAATCCAGTGGGGATAAAAACAGTTAAATGAACATGAAATATACAATAATGTAAAGGTGTGATTCAATCACCAAACGAAGTAAATCTTTGCAGATGTGCTTTGTAAAATTTAAAGTAGAAATTATGATATGTTCTCTCCTTCTCTCCTTCTCTCTCTCTCTCTCTCTCTCTCTCTCTCTCTCTCTCTCGTTTTGGTGACTGATGCAGGAAAGAAAGCCTCCAAAAAGGGAAAGAAAAAAGAGTCACCTGTAATCTCTGGAGGAATACTAGAAGTGTTCATCAAAGAAGCAAAGAATTTGACAGCAGTGAAATCGGGAGGCACTTCTGACAGCTTTGTGAAGGGGTAATTTTATTTTAGTTCATTTCAGATAATGCTTATTGGGAGACAAAAGGATCTATGATCCATGAGACAGTGGTGGCTATGAGGCATGTTCAGCTTATTGGAAATGTACCAGGAAAGAGCTACCCTTAAGTGCTGACGCTTATATCTCAAACAATACTGGCGTAGAGGGAACTGCTTATTCCAGTTTATGCTGCATTTCTAGCACATTTTGGAATAACCTATCACTCACAACCTCAAGACTGCCAGATTTTCCTGTGAGATTCATTTCTCAAAGGAGAAGAAAATATGATTTTCTACATGTAATGTACTTGCATTATGCTTTTCTATCATTTGGTTCTCCGATATGGAAAAACAACCAAAATATCAGATACTTGCAGTTTTGCTCTCTTGAGGGAAACTGTAAAAAGTAGAGAAATCAGAACACTTATCTTGGAGATATTCACTAGAGAATGCTCTGGGGAGGCTCCAGGACTCCCTGCTGAGCATTTGTTCCCACTTTGTGGAAGCACAAGCATCTTCTTGAGAGACCACGGCCCTTTAAATGAATAATCATGCTCATTTTAGACAACTTCAAAACCAAATCCCTCTTGATTTCTGACTATTGGAGATTTTTTTTTCCTGGGATTAGAGAAACTAGGAATGGATGGATATTTTTCATTCATTCAAACAAACAGACAAGTGCACACATACCAAGCACCAGGGGCTGCACTTTTCAAACTAAATAAGGCACAATACTGGAGCTCACAGCACATCATTCGGCACATAAGGTAAAGCAAGTTCCCATGATGCCAGGCCAGGAAGTGAATTTTTGGAGTCAATTTACTACTGAGTTTTGGGGTGCTGGAGTCTGCTTCTGGAGGTAGATTCTCTCTACTCTGAGCAAAGAATTGGTCACAACAAGCACAAAAGGTAGCGAGGTTTTACACTTATTAAAAGTAGGAAAAGAAGCATGCTCTGCAGAGTAAGTTTGGGCCAAGTGAAAGTAAGAAAAACGATACACTCTACAGAATGAGAATGTGCTACTATGAAAGAATACAGTAGTTGAGCTCAATGGAGATTATCTTGTAGTATCTTTCACGCCTCAGGCTGATGTCAGGTCTAGGCCTTCCTATTCAAAACTGCTCAAATTCTCAAAAGAAGTGCATGTGCAGGGCTTTGAGAACTGTTCTGTGCATGTGTCCTGGAACTTTGCAATTGAAAGGTCACATTCACTTTCCCAGCCAGCCTGACACACTCTAATCTCCTCCTTACATTGACAGTTATTTCTTTTCCTCAAGCCTTCTTAGAAAAGTGTACTTTTCTTACAAGAAAACAAGCTATGCCTTTACTCTCTCTCAGAGGCTTTAACTTTGGTAAGCCCAATTGAGAAAAGCAAATGTCTAGGGCATCCCCATTGGTAAATGTGTGCCCTTAAATTCTGGTCCATCTAGTCTTCATTTTCTTCTTGCAATAGATTTTAGAAGAGAAGAAATGCTTTCTTTGGACCTTGTTATTGCTTTGTCCCTCAACAGCCCTGACTTCCACTTCAGGCCTCTGCTACTCACTATCACGTAGATAAGAGGATGGCTTCTGGCCTGTGGCCTCACTGTGGCCTTACAGGGGTGACAGTATTTTCTGAAACAGTTTTCTCTTTGTCTTACTGAGAATTTGTGAAGCACAAATAATAAAGGACAGTATCTTTGTCCTAGTAAAAAAAAAGAAAGCCTAACTTTCCAAAAACTCTCTCCTTAGTTACACTTAAATACTCAGCTGACTTTAAAGAATCTGAGATTTTATTTTAAAGAGAATGAGAAAGCAACAATAGACCTATATGTAAAGTTTAATATAAAATACACAAAATACAGGTAGAGGGGGATTTAGCTCAGAGGTTTCGCCACCTGCTGTGCAAGCGCAAGGACCTGAGTTCAATCCCTGGTACCAAAAAAAATAAATACAAAATACATAATTATATAGCTACCTAATTACATTACCCCTGTCTATAAGCTAAAATAACAGTGGCTTCAAAAGACTAAACCTTTTATTGTTGTACTCAGGGTTGAACCCAGGGCTTTCACATTGTGCTACATCTCCAACTCTTTTTTATTTTTTATTTTGAGACAGGGTCTTGATAAGTCACTTACTTGCTCAAGCTACACTTTAACTTGTGATCCTCCTTCTTTAGCCTCCCATCTTTTTTCTACTTCTTACATATAAACAAAGATTTAAGGTAACACAAGCAAGGAAGGTATGGAAGCATCACGATTACCAGAAACAAAGGATTTCTCTATCTCATTATGGTATCTACCTCATGGGCCAGGATAGCTGCTCAGATTTCAGCTATCCCACCCAAATTCCAGCTGGTAGGCTACTTTTGTGTAAATTTTATGCAGAACTACTTCTATTCCATTGACTACAACTAGTTGTAAAGAAGGCTAGGGTAAGGTAGTCTTTATTCTGAGCAGCCTTGTCCCCAAATTTTAAAAATAGGGATTTTGCAATGAGAGAAATAAGTGGAAATAGATATTGGGAGATTATGAGCATTTGTGCATGGTGGATGACATGCAATCTCATGGAGCCTAATGTGTCTTCTTCATTGTAAAGTCACTTGCTTGCAGTATTTTTCACTATTATCTGATGTTCTGATTTTAAACACACATCTGTCTCCTTCTCTAAAGCTTGCTCCTTGAGGGGGAAAAAGGTAGTATTCATCATGTACCTAACAACCTAGTACAGTGTTTTGGCCATAGTAGAGAAGGCCTGGGGTACAGATATTTTATTTGAAAGTGGATCAGGAAGCACCAGTGAGAGAGTGGAAAAAAGACAGGAGAGGGAGAGAAGATGATAAAAATATATGTTAATGGACAAATTGCCAATGTGGATAGCTAGGTATCAATCCCACTGGAGAGGCCATGAAGAACTCTGTGGAATATTCCTTAGGAAGAGAAGCTGGGGGATTCATCCACCAATTTCCAAAACTCATGATTGAGGGTTACCATTAAATCTTCAGTTATTCAAAGATGCTCTTCACAAAAGCTGAGCCAGCTCACACAGGACGAGAGAAAGTCTTTAACTGGAGAAGTTGAGATGCATGGGTGCTTGAGGTGGAAAGATGAAAGTTTGCCAGAACTGTCCATACTGGCTGCAGGTCAGCTCAGAAATGGCCTAAGAAGATATATAGCAGAGAATTCTACAGTATCTACCACAGAAGGTATTTTCTTTTCAATATGGGAGAAGGACCAAACTAGAATTAGAAAGGAGAGAGAGGACAGTTTACTATTATCCCACTTAAAAGAAACAGTAAGCCATTCTACAAAGTAAATCCTTATTTAAACATACAAGAACCTGGGAAAGAAAATCAGATAGACATTTCATACTCACACACACATATACACAGGCATCCACACATGCACACACATACCAGGAATTATGAGAAATTCAAATGATTTCTGAATAACGGCATTTTCTGCCTACTGTCTCACTGATGGTTTGACTGTGTTTTCTCCTGCAGCTACCTGCTCCCCGATGATAGCAAAGCCACCAAGCACAAAACTGTGGTCATAAAAAAGAGTGTGAACCCTCAGTGGAATCATACTTTCATGTTCAGTGGCCTGTATCCCCAAGATATAAACAGTGTTTGTCTAGAGCTTACCATCTGGGACAAGGAGGCCTTTTCCAGCAACATCTTTCTCGGAGGAGTTCGTTTGAATTGTGGAAGTGGTGAGAAATTTGGAGATCCTGAGATGGTCTGTGACTGGGCATGGGGCAAGGGCATGATTCCTTCAGATGTCAGGTGTAGTAAATGTCTATGTGATTTCTGCTGTAACTAATTCTTGAAATTATCACAGTTACTCCATTCCCTTACCCTAAAATCTGTTCATTGTTAAAATATAAATATTACTACTGTCACTTTGTATCTTTACACTAGAAGCTTGAGAAGTGTAGTTTCTATTCAGTCCTTTCACCTCCCAAAATTACACTTTAATCTAAGTGAATTTCAAGTACTTTCTTGGGCCTTCAGGTTTTGGTCAGAAAAGGATCACCAAGACAGCACAGCCTTCTGACAGGGGAGAGAGGGCTTTCCAAGGTCAACTTTACCTAATTCTTTTCTCAGTTCTGCTCAGCACTTTACAGCCATTATTCACACTGGTTGAATTGAAAGGGAATCAATTTTTCTTTAAAAAAAACAGCACCTCATGTTTTTCACAAAAGTCATGGAAACACACCATTGGTAATAAAAGTCACAGCTATAACAGGGTAAACGTGAGGTGGAATATTTGAGCACATGAGAACTAGTAGAGGCACTTGCAGTCCCCTAAACACTCTTTGTCTTCTCATTGCTTAGACCAGACTTAGATGGTCTGTATGTACCATGGTCAGCATTTGTGTTGAGAAGGACATACTACTGTGATCCTTTATCTATTATAGACTAAGGAAAGCTAAGAATATTTATGCCACTAAAACTGAAATTTCCCAGGTCAGAAAAGTGGCCATGTTAGAGATCCTCAGATCCAATGTCATCTTGTTTTTCTGTCATATTATCTTGGTCCAGATGATCTAGCTTTCTGTTGTACTGCCAAAGTGGGGAGGAATTAGCTACCAATTTGTCTCACATTTTCTAGGCAGAAGAAAGTAGTACGGGTGGCAAAGGATTGATTCCAGTCTAATAGTAGATATGGGAAGTGAGAACAAGCCAGTGAAGAGAACTTTGGTTAACAGGCTCCCTCAAAAATTGATAAATGCCTTCCAAAAAGTCAAAACATCTCATTTGTGAAATGTACCTCTCCTCTTTCCCTTCTTCAGGTGTGAGTCACGGGAAAAACGTGGATTGGATGGACTCTCGGGGGGAAGAGCAGAGCCTTTGGCAGAGGATGGCTGAAAACCCTGGAATGCCCGTAGAGGGAGTACTTATGCTCCGTTCCAGCATGGGGAAATGTAGGCTCTGAAGAGACAAGTTCTTCAAGAACGAGACCTCTAGGAACTGTCTGGCTGCCATTTCTAACAAATAGCAGGCTGGAACTTTGGATTCTGCTTCCCTGCCATTTTTCACCTGAGGATATGGGGACATCAGGGGCAAGAGAGATGATAGTGGTATGAACATTTAGGGTCATCTTGCTGGGTTCCTAAAAACACCCAAGTACTTTTACTTTTTGAGTGTGATGGTACACAGCTATGACGCCAGGACCCTAGAAGGCTGAGGCAAGAAGACTGCAAGTTTGAGTCCAGCCTGAGTAATTTAGTGACTTAGCAAGGCCCTGTCTCAAAATAAAAAGATAAAAAGGACTGGATATGTAGCTCTGTACATAGGCCCTGAGTTCAGTCTCCTGTACCCTCCAACCAAACAAAAAAAGTATCTCTCTATGTGTATGGACTAGGGCCTCCCTAGACTTTGTTTCCATTTTTTTCTTTTCTCATAATTTTTCCTTTCCCTTCTTTCCTTTCCCCTTCCCCTCCCACTTCCCCTACCCCTTTGGACCTTTTCTTTGTATACCTAAAATGTACCAATGAAAGAATTTAAGCAAAATAATAATAATAATAATAAGTGGACTAGGGCCTCCCTGACTAGACAATAGAAAGTGGCTCACACTGTCCTGTCAACAAAATTGTGCAGTAATTCATAGGGTTTATATCATCACAGAAATAGCTCAAGCTTATTTGAAACTATGGTTGAGATCGAGGAGTGCCCAACCTTTTTTGTAATTATGAGTGTCTTTATATTTCTTCAGTGTGAGGAAAAAGGAGACCACCAAGAAAGTAGAAATCCCTGTGGTCCAAAGAAGGCATGATAAGGATGGCTGCTGGGGTGACAGGCTGGTCCTGTTATGGTAGCAAACTTGGGCACTGACCAGATCTGAGATAGATTGACAGGGCTTCTTATTAGTGCTATATAATTTATTATCTAAATCAGCCTACTTTTGAGAGTGAATGAAGCTAAATAATTACATCTGAACAATGATGTAAACTAGCAATGATCTGGGAATATTGGGATGTAGGGTCATCCTACTGAGAGAACTCTGCTGTAAACATTTATTTTATGAAATATTCTAAGCCATTAACTACAAAAAAATAAAAAATAATGGTCAACATACTATTCATTGATGAGAAAAGTGGAATTTAAAAGGAGATGCTCTACCTACTATCTTACTTTTCTTTATTTGCTCTCACTCTTTCATTTTCTCTTTCCCAGAGTTCTTGTTGCCTCCTTTTGTAATGGTTAGCTGTTGCCATAATAATGCTGAATAATAAACCACTCCAAATGTTGTGACTTAAAATGACAATCATTTTTCTTGTGGTTATGAAAGTTGCCTAGGGCAGCTCTGCTTCCAGTTACAGGCTCAAAGGTCTAGATCACCTGCTCATGTCTCATCCTCTTTGAACCAAAGGGAGCCAGAGCATGGTGATAGCAGAGGCACAACAGATTGAGCCCCATTGCTCAAGTGTAGTTAGAGTCCCTATTTGTGTTGTATCCCATTAGTCAAAGGAAATCCGTAGGGCCAGGCCTAAAATCAAGAAGCAAAAAAATCAAAGCCATGACAAGAGTCAGGATATCAGAAGCCACAACAAGAATGAGAATAAGGAAGTGGGGCCTACTATCACCATTTTTATCCACACAGTACTCAGGATATTAGCCAGATCAGTCACACAAGAAAAAGAATAAGGATACATACAGGAAAGGAGAAATCAAATTATAATTAATTGCAAATGACATGATACATAGAAGACTCAAAGAGATCCACCCAAAAACTCTTAGAATTAATAACCAACTTCAGCAGTGTAGCAGGATACAAAGTCGGCATACAAAAATCAACAGAATTTATGTACACCAATGAACTCAATGACAAGGAAATTATATAAACAATGCAATTCATGGTTGTGTCAAGAAAAATGAAATACCTGGTATTAACCTAACCGAGGAAGCAAAAGACCTCTACAAAGAAAAGTACAGTAACCTGTAAAAGGAGATTGAAGAGAACATCAGAAAATGGATAGATTTCCCTCACTCCTGGACAGACAAAATCAATATAGTAAAAATGGCCATATTCTCAAAACTGTTATACAGATTCAATGTAGTCCCAATGAAAACACCAACAGTATTCATCACAGAACTAGAGAAGACAACCCTAAGTTTCATATGAAACCAAGAAGAGATCCAGAATAGAATAAGCAATGTTGGGCAATAAGAGAAAAGCAGGCAGCATCACATTACTTGACCTCAGAGTACACTACAAAGTAACAGTAATAAAAACAGCATGGTACTGGAATAAAAACTGACGTGTATTAATGGAACAGAATAGAGGATAGAGAAACATCTCCAGACACCTTTAGCTATTTGATCTTTGACAAGGGGGTCAAAGGCATACATTGGAGAAAAGATAGCCTACTCAACAAATAGTACAAGGAAAACTGGACATCTTGTTTGCAAAAGTTTGAAACTAGACCCAAATCTCTCACCATGTACCAAACTCAAATCAAAATGGATAAAAATCTAAACATTAAAACAGAAACACTGAACCTACTGGAAGATAAAATAAGTACAACACTTGAAACCATAGGTGTAGGAAATGTTTTCCTAAAAAGCTCAACAAATTCTTTTTCTTTTCTTTTTCTTTTTTTTTTTTCAGTACCAGGGATCAAACTCAGGACCTTGTGCTTGCAAGGCAGGTGCAGTGCCACTGAGCTAAATCCTTGGCAGGTTTTCCTAAACAGAACTACAATTGTGCAAGAAACATCAGCAAGAACCAACAAATGGGATTACATCAAATTAAAACGCTTCTTTCTGCACAGCAAAGGAATCAATGAGTAGAGTGAAGTGATGACTGACAGAATGGGAAAAAAATTTTTTCCAGCTATTCCTCAGAAAGAGGACTTGTATCTAGAATATACAAAGAACTCAAAAAAAAAAAGGGAAGCACCTAAAATGAAAGACCCCATCAAGAAATTGGCAAGTGAAATGAACAGACACTTCTCAGAGGAAGAAATGCAAATGGCTAACAAATATATAAAAAATGTTCAACATCTCTGGCCATTAAAGAAATGCAAATTAAAACAATGCTAAGATTCCATTTTAAACTAGAAAGCATGGCAATCATCAAGAAATCAAAAAATAACAAATGCTAGTTGTGTGGCTGTGGTGAAAAAGGAACCCTCCTACATTGTTGGTGAGAATGTAAACTAGTACCACCATTATGGAAATCAATATAGAGATTCCTCAAAGAACAAAAATCAGAAATTCCATAAGACCCAGCTATCCCTCTGCTAGGTATCTTTCCCAAAAGCTAAAGATTTCATACTATAGTGATACATACATACCAATAATTACAGCAGCACAAATCATAATAGCTAAATCCTGGAAGCAGCCTGTATACCCGTCAACAGATGACTAGATAAAGAAAATGTGGTACCTATACATAATAGAATACTACTGAGCTATAAAGAAGGACAAATTTGAGACATCTGTAGGAAAATGGATGCACCTGGAAAGTATAATGTTGAGTGAAATAAGTCAGATGCACAAGCTTAAATACCATATGGTATCTCATTTGAGTAAGGCAAAGTACAAAGAGCAGAGCAAAATAAAAGATAAATAGAAAGAGACAAGATCTCTTGCAAATGGGAAGGAGTCCAAGAGAACATGGATGAGAGGAGAGGGGGAGGGGACAGGAAAATAAGTGGAATAAGGATATGTCATGTATGAGAACCTAATAACCTCAATGAATATAAGCATTATATGTTATAAACATGAGATAATAATAATACAAGAACAAAAATGGAGAAAGGGATTTAGAAGAGGAGGGAGGGAAGTAGAAGGAGAAGGTGATTAAAAAAGAAAAAAACCAAGCTGTATTATATAATACACATATATATAATATATAAGTAAACTGCATGTACTGAAAACACATACTAATAAAAACATGTTAGATATGCAAAGATTTTAATAATTATTAATTAATCAATTAATACTAACGCAGGACCCATTACCCTTGCCTCTCGGCCTCTCTGTGTAGAGACAAAAAAAAAAATGAAAGTATTTACTAGGAATAAAGGTAATCCAAACAGTCACTATGATTAGATTCCAAGAGAAGAAAATAAATACTCACATTAAAATGTAAAAAAATTTAAATTTAAAAGAATTGGGGCCAGTAGTTCAATCTACTTTACCTTCTGTCACTTGAAATTCTAGATGCTTAAACCAATAATCTTAGATGCAAATGTAGTCAAAGCTAGAAGGAACCTCAGGCCTGGTCCCTTTTTTTTTCTGGTCCCAAACCTGAAGCCCAGAGAATTGAGATAACTTACCCAAGTTGTGCAGGATATGACAGAATTCAGACTTAAATCATAGGCCGTTGTTCTTTCCCTGCAGTTCTTGACATAATCCTGTGTTTATCAAGGTGGACAAAAAGGCATGTGTCAAGGAAGGTAGATCAGAGTCTGATTATTTGAGCATGAATATACATGCCCAAGGTATGTTCTGTGGCATATATAATATATATAAATACATATATATATTTTTTAATTTTGGAAACAGATTTGATAATATATTTAGTATTATTCTTAGTAAAGGAATAAGCAATCTATTTCAATATTATTCAAAAACAGGCCATCTAATTCTAGAAAACTGAAATTAGTCTGGTATAGCTTAGTAAGTACGGTACTTTATTTTGCCCTCCTTAAAAGCAAAGCAAAATGTATATGATCTGGTGAATATGGTGGTGTGTGTTTGTAATCCCAGCACTCTTAGAAGGTGAGGCAGGAGGACTACCACATTCAAGCCCAGCCAGTGCAATTCAGCAACTACTGAAACCCTGTCTCAAAATAAAAAATACAAGGGGCTGGGTATGTAGCTGAGTGTGAAGCCCCTGGATTCAGTCTCCACTAACACATGCAAAGAAGGAAATAAGTGTATGATGATCACTACTTCCCATACAAGAAACATAATTTGTCTCCAGATTTGAGGTAACTCATTCTGTTTTTGATGATGTTTTGGCGAAATGAGAGGGTAGTGATAGTGAAGTCTGAAGGTATCTCTGAAGTAGATACAACAAAGTACATTTCTTCACTAACAATAAATTTAGAAAAATAACTCCAAAATTTATAACTTGAACTCAAGAAGATCATGAACCTTAAATGTTCAGTTCTCTGCCACATTTAGAGCAATTCTCTGTATTATGGTTTCATAGCATCCAACATCTAACAGGATATTTCTGCAAGGCAAAACCTAGATATGCAAAAATCTATCAGAAACCTATGGGTATTGTTCTTGGAAGTGAAAGGCAAATTGATATTTAGGTTGCTCTTTTACTAAGTAGAGGTACAAAATAAGAGTTTAAAATACAGGTAATATTTGGAAATGGTAAGAATTCAAATAGTTCAAGTTTGTGAAGGAGTAAGTCTTTCTCCCTCCCCTTTCATATAAAAATATATTACAGTTTCATTCTTTGATATGACTATAGGGTATTACTTATAGGAATATAGGAAATATTTTAACCAGTCATATCAAATGACACATTAAATATGTTTCATGGACTTTCTAAGCAATATTTTCTTTTGAAAATAAATACTTTGAAATTCAAAAGTGAGGTATATATCTTACACACCTGTTCCACTCCTGGGTATTTTATCCTACATAGATAGGTTCATGTGTGAGAATTTAGTAACATATAAGGATATTTACTGCAAGAGTTAAGAAACAACCTAGAGCTGGTCAAAACAACTCTCTGTAATATGGCATACTCCTGACTTTTCTGTTTAACTTATTATCCCTTTCTTCTGGCTTTGTTCATTCTCTACATAGGTGTTAAAAATTGCCACTGTTTTCATTTTCTCTTCACTTTATTCAGCCTCCTAGACAGTGATACACCATACTTTCATGGTTTTATAAACTTAGAACTTAAAAGTTCACGTCTCCAATCCAAACTCTCCCTCTCAGCCCTAGACCTTGTAAAAACTGATTACACAAGTCAGAGACATTCCTACCACACCCAACTAAACAGAGCTGACCTTGAGAGAAACACAAATGGCCATTGCAGAGGCTATCTTGCAGGCCCAATCCAGTGAAGGACTGCTGTGACTATAAGATAAAATTTACCTGGGAACAGCCACCGTTCAATAATCAGACCATGGTAGCTTCCAAAAGACACTACCAGAACCTATAAACATGCTTTCAAAATGACTTTTGTAATGTCTTCTTTCTCCAACGAAACCCTCATTTTCCCATTTGTTCTCCAACCCAGTCTGCGTCCTCCAGTTGCAATACTATCGTTCCTTTCATTCCC